CACACACACACACACACACACACACACACACACACACACACACACACGCACACATACATACACAAGATCTAAGGCACACCGAGAAAGAGCGAGAAGAAGAAAAAAAAGTGTAGAAAAATTTTTCAATTTTTGTACATAGAGAAAATTATAGATATATTGAAAATAATACAACGAATCATAATGGAACGAAATAGACGAATTAAGTATAATTGATAAAATGAGAATGTTGTAGTTGGTCTTTAAAAAAAAAAAAAATATATATATATATGTATATATATATTTTTTGTTTTAAATATTTATTTGGTACGAAAAATGGCGAATAATTGATAACATACCTCTGAAACAGATTCTTCATCCGATTCAGACGAATCAAGAACTATTTGATTTATGTCGGTATACTTTTCAATAACTGTTTTACTTGAACTTGTATTCGAATTATTGCAACATTTATTTTTCAATTTGATTTCGGTTGTAGACGACGACATATTATTTTTTTCAATTCCACTTGGGATATGATTCGCAATTGTCGTCGTTTTTGATGTAGATGGTACACTACTACTACTACTGCTTGTGCTACTGCTGCTGCTGGTGCTGCTTTTGCTTTTACTGCTAACACTAGACACTTTGCAATCAACTTTTTTTTTATCACAATGTTCGATACTCTGCATTTTTGTGTGTAATTATTACTAAATCGAATCTCTTCTTAGCCTTTTTTTTTCTTCTTTTCTTTCTTTTGTTTTGTTGGCTTCTTTCCCGATTTCGATTATAACAGTTTTAAATGAAACGTTAATAATTCGTATATATTAGTTTTAGTAACATTGAAAAATTGCTTATTCAAACACTCTTTAACACTTGTTTTAATTAAAAAATATGTATATTAAAAACTATTCAATTTGATCGAAACTTGGGATCGCCATCATTCTTCCGGATATACTGTATGCGCTGTCAGTGATTTATTTGGGAACTAAAACTCTGCTGACCAAAAATGGCTACCGTCTCTCACTCGGTAAATGTTTTCGATGCTTATTCTGCAGCGAAATGGAAAAGCACGTTCACATACTGCAAAACTGTCAAAATTCATATCACATCAGGCGGTTATGTTTACATTTTCATAATGCAGTTAAAAATGTTTTTTTTCTAATTTGGAATTTATTTTTTTTAAAAAACAGCCATATTATGGACGATTTAAAAATTGAATTTATTTTTAATTTCAAATAGAATTATTTTTATTAAAAAAGCAATGTCAATAAAATGCATTTTTATAGACCTGCCATCTATGCATACAAACCAATAACTAATTTAACACAATTTATCGTTGTGTATTGTCGATTTTGGAAAAACAGCTGATGTAATGACATCAACTGTTGACATTCACTCTGCTCCGTCCCAAGCAACAAATTTTACTGGATTTTAATGGAAACAATGGCATTTAATTTGAGCTTGTTTGTTATTCGAGTATATGTGGGAAAGAACTCGCCTATTGAAATCGTTTAATTCTCTTGCAATTTATTTCATTTTCGTTTGAAATGTGTCGCTTGCTGTGATTTCTGTTATGCTCTGAAATTATTCTATCAATAAAGATGCAATAATTTGTATAACATCTACTACTTGAAACAAAAAAAAATTGTTTTCCCATGTTTGTAATTCTATACTAATTCATACTGAAATCAATCCAATGAACTGGAAACGATTCAATTAAATCAGAACATTGAAAACATCGTATGGATCCATTGGCGACTCAGGCTGAAATGAACTAAGCTAAATATAATGAACATTTTTTTATTTTTATTTTTTTACTAAGGAAGAGAGTGAGAGAAATATGCACACAGAGAATCTGTTTTGCGGGTGGTCTTGATGGTCTTGTTACACAATGGACTTACTGCATTGGACCTCCCGAAAAATTTCCAACAATTCACACGAAAAATGTATATCGAATGCATGTGTGTATATTGTATATTGTTGCATTTTTTACGCGACATTCCATAAAAACATCGGTTTTAGTTTACTTTATATATATATATTTTTTTATGAGACTTCATTCAAAATGGAAAGATTATGAATTGGCCAAAAAAATTCCAAGACGGAAAAAAAATCTGTGAAAAAGCTTCTTTGTGCTTAACAGATATAAAGTTTCAATATTGCAACTGATCCATATATGAATATATAAATAGGACGGTTAAACAGCAATTTGGATTAATTTGTGTTGATCCATTTCCGATGGCAGTGCAATCGTACTTGTTTGAACATCGATCGATTTCACAAATTGAATAACGGTTATTGTTAGTTTTTTCGCGCGAGTGTACATTTTACAAAAAAAATTAGTGGCGTGAATGGATTGCAAGATGAGCGCAAATATAAAAGGTGATAAAATGATATCGTCGGTGGTTTGGAAGAATCGCCGTGAGCGAGCCAATCTTCGCGAACGTAAGTGAATGACTTCAACGAATTGTAGATCTAAATCCTCAAGAAATGTTGTTTTGTTTCTAATGATGGATCTAAGCGAAAGCAAATGATTGTAATATGAAATTTCCAAATGAAAATATTGGAAACAGAGTGTATGTGAGAGTGAATGAGTGAGTGAGAGATGATTGGAAACCAGAAGAATGTAAGAAACTATAGCTTGACCACACACATGCAATTTCATTATATCTTTCCCTTGTTTCCATTACTTACTGATTCGTTTCTATTAATTTCGTTCTTTTCGATGTGATTTCAGGCAAGCGAATGGAACATCTGAATGACGCATTTGATCGCCTCCGACAGTATTTACCTAAGCTAGAAAATAATCAAAAACTTTCGAAACACGAAACATTACAAATGGCACAAACTTACATCACAGAGCTAGATCAATTATTAAAAAAATGATGGAAGATTTTCCCAGAAATAAACAGAAAAAAAAAAAACAAAATAAAACTCAGTTTTGAATAAAACTCTAAAACGATCATTATTCTATTTTATTGATTTTTTTTACAATTAGCATTGAATGATTTTAAACAGATGTTCGGAATAATTCATAGGTTCGTCCTGCCTCATGGCATGGTTTAGCCTGTTTCTTCTTGGGCTTGGCCTGATCTAATTTTATGAGTGCACCAGGTCGTTCATAGTCCTCGAACGGGAAATCGGCGGGACTTATTTTGAATATTTCTTTCGATTCTGGTGTGGTGAAATATAGACGCGTAATAAATTTTCCAGCTCGTTTTGGTCGTTGTGCGTTCACCGAACTCATTATGTCTCGTACATTTTGAACTATCTGTTCCGTTGGCATGGTAAGCTTTAGCGATTGAACGAACAAAATTTGATTGCTATCGAATAATCACATAAATTGGAAATAGATGAATTGCACTTACAATCCCAGCTTTAGTGTTGACTACACCGTAATCTTGTTGGTGTTCATCTCGTAATCCATTTATGAAAATTCCACTCATAAATCTGGTCACCATTTCATACATATCCAATCCGAGTGTTTCATTTTTGGCCGATGGGAATCTCTTTTTCATCAAACCACGTAACGCCAACATTTCGGGCATTATATCCGGGTGGGCCAATATGAAGTGGTAATCAGCGAAGCGAACATTTCCTTTCAGTGCCAATTTTACCATATCAGATCCACCAACAGTAGTGGCACCGGCTTCAATTGCTTTACTTCGATTCACCTGCAAATAAATGGAAACGCATTCGATGAGAATGATGATTGCATTTTATATGTCTTATGAATTTACTTCTTCTTTTGCGAAAGCCAAAATTTTACGCTCTTGCCCATGTTCAAATGGATGTTTCAACAAAACAAGTTTGTTAAAATTGGACACGAGTCTGGTTGCTTTTTCTCCGATCATATTCATTTCAATGGTAATATTTAGCGGTGAGTCCATTGCATCATACATCGTTGGATCGAGAGTCTCTTTGTGGAAATTAATTGCATCTTCCATTTTAAATTCTGGCCAGCGATAATAACGACCGGGAAATGCATCGTCTATGGGTGCCAACTTATGCATATTCAAATTCACCAAATGTTTATCGACTTTACTTTTAGACCTATTTATTTTTTGAGAGTAAATTTTTTTAGAATTTGATTAGCCAATTTTCGTCAATAAAGACCAACCATTTTCTCTGCGGAATATAACCAACTTTGGTGATTTTAGCGAGTTTTGCTGCTCTATTTTTCTTCGCTATTTTCTCGCGTCTTTCTCTGGTTCCTTTTCGGGCTCTCAAATCCACTTCACTTGTATGAATACATTGAGCCGGTTGATAGAATGATTGAGGCCGAATCATTAAACGAGAAAACATCGATCTCAATCCCAACATTTTCAATTTTATTTATTCGTCGGTTTTTTTTTTTTTAATAAATTTCCACGAAAATCAAAATTTTATCAAGACCAATGTTTGGTTAGGTTCAGAAAACTAAAAACATATCACATTTTTCATCAATTGTCTGATTTGACAACTAACCTCTAAACCGGTTTTGACATTTAAAATGTCATTTTTAGTGTATTTCGGTCACAACCGAATGAAGAAGAAAAGAAAAAGAAGGAAAAAAACCATATCAATTGAAACCGAATGGATTAAGAAACCACAAAACGATACCAGAACTATGTGCCAAAAATAGTTGAGAAGTTATGTTGTCACACACCAAAGTTAAAGAATAAAAAAATTTTTTGTTTATAAATAAAGAAGGATTGTATACAAAAAAAAAACAACAGCAAGAAGCTAAACTAAATTAAAATTCGTGTAGTATTGTTATTAATTTTTGTGAGATATGGCGCGATGGGCAAGGCCTGAACCTGCGAACACAAGTCAACGACGCAAATGGAATTTGGGAGGTACTTCAATATTTCAATTATTGTATAGTTAATTTATCACCATACATTTCGGCATTTTCCTCTAATATGACGTGTTATACTCCAGATCGAACATCTTTACGAAACTTACATGGAAATTCCAGTGAAAATGGTGATTCAAATAGTCAGTACGAGATCGCGAGGCAAATTCTTGAGAATGATGCAGGTTTGAAATGAATATAAAGTTAAACGAGACATTTTTAGACAATTTTTAACTTATCTTCTGTTCGTACGTTTTAGCTGAAGATTCACGTGCCGATTATTCTCTGGGAATTGATTGGCTGTTAAAAGCATCTTATGAGGGCCATCAAGGTGAGTTTGAAAGTTTTAATTTAATCACACAAACGCTAATTTATATTTCATCTTTAAGGTGCGTTAATGCTTTTGGCAAAAAGTCTGAAAACCGGACGTGGAATAAATGATCGAAATATAACCGAAGTCGAAACATGCTTGGCCATGACACAATCCGAACGAAATGCACGAAAAGCAGCACGTGAATTATTTAATTGCTTAAAGCAAACAAATAATTCAGGCGAACATTACATCACTGTAGCTCAATTGGAGAAAAAAATGCGTCAAATATATAAATTGAAAAGTAGCCGATACAAAAGGAATTCAACATCGAATGCAACAGCAACATCATCATCAGCAACTGCACAAAATGAACAAGACATTTCACCATATCATTCAATTCGAACGAATATTATGTCGAGTCCGGGTAATTACTTATCTATTTCCATTCTTTTCTATGTTAATTAATTTTTACTCTGTTGTGTTTCATCCTTAGGTAATAATATTAGCGAAGAGAATCTCATTTCAGCTGCCATGCAAGTGGTGCATGGTCAATTACCAAATATTAGTTCATCATTAACACTATCCGTTCCGCATCCGGAATCATTGAATCATGTCCCATATTTTCATCGGATGCTCTTTCATCCGTTGCTATTTTTGTACCTAATTTACCATCAGTACTTGAATGCACTAGCCCGTTTTCCCAGTTCCTTAGCTAATTGCCTTATATTCTTATTAATTTTATCGTATACAACAACCATAAACAATGTACTTGCCTTTATGCCGGTTGTCATTTATCATGTTAGTCTATTTGTGATGATTGTGTCAACATTGAAAATGTTTAAATCGAAACATCGTTATGACGATTTTCGAATATGGTCACAGCTATTCTTAAGCTTTGATCAACAATTTGATACAAATGCAGAGAATGCATTTCTACGAAAAGAATTACAACCGTATCTTATATATTTTTCGGCATTTTTTCTAAATGTTATCGTGTCACCGACCATTCCACTCGATTGGAGAATGACATCCGAAGTGACAATCATTTCATTCATTTTACTATTTGTGACATTGTTTCTATTTATGTTTAATAATCGAAATCCATTTCCCGATTTTCCCACATTACTCTCATTTGGTATTAATGTATTGGTTAAGTATCCATTTGAAATTGATGCGGAAATGTGGAGCAATTGGTTGATATTTGATTTAAAAATACCAACATTTTCACCATTTCCAATCGGTCATGGAATTGAATTTTGCTTCAATTGCCGGGGATTGCTCTATCTTCTATTGCCCGGACTACTGTTAATGTTGGCCCAACGACATAATTGGCATGGGATTTATCAGTGTTTGATACCACATTGTGTTGTTCTTAGTTGGCTACAAATTTGTATAATAAATTCACAATCGGCTACAATGTTTGAAATTGTACGTGGTACTCTAACTCTGGCTGGAATGCTGTTTTGTTTGCCGCTGTTTGGTTTGGTGACGTTGATGATACCAGTTTTTGTCACCGTTGAATCGATGGCATTAAAAAATGCCGTTCATCGTCTGATTGCATCGGTATCAATTGCCGGCATTGCACTCGTTGTCTCCTGCTTACTTGCATCGTATCGACGAACAAAGCGATATGTTACATTCATGCAGGTAAAAAAAAATCATCTATGAATAAAATGATATGATTTTCGTTTTAAATAATCAAATAATTAATCTTTCATTCATTCAAAATAGGTAATCGTTTGTTTGGTGGCCACATTCTATTTGACCCAACCATATATTTCAAAATATTTTGATGTTCCACCATCACACTCACAATCGGATATTTATCAAACAATCATAAATCGAATGAATGTGGCCGATTCATTGGCACAAGATGACGTTTCGATAAATTACTTGAAATGGGATTTATTTAATCGTCATTGTTATTCACCGTTGACCAATAACAACGGAAATCGTATAAATGCTCAGTTAAAATGTGATCGATTTCATGGTTCGACCATTAAATGGGAAGGCAGTGTTCATAACGTTGAAATACGACGTGTGACAAATATTTTTGAAAAAATTCTCACATTTATGCCAGAAATGTTGTCAATCCCGGTCATTTGCTGGTTTGGTGAACCAAACGAACTTATGTTCAATGTGTATGATTCCGATGAATTAGAATATTTTAAAGAGCAAAACAAATGTAATTTAAACAGTTGGAACACTTATGAATTTCGTATCGGTATTAAATTAGATTATAGCCCAATTGAAGTATACTTGAATATTCACAACAATGAATTCACAAATTTCACGAGATTATTAAATCGATCGGATCGAATTTGGTTTGCTGGCACACTTATGACTAGTTACACAAATCCAGATGGTGATGATGATGTACACGTTCCATTCAACACATTCAATTTGGAAAAGTATCCACTTTGGGTCGATGTTACATCCATTGGTTGCATTAAATGTAAGGAATCAAGTCTGAGAGCATTTTATGCGTCAAATTACATAAAATTAAGCAGTCGAAATATATTTAATGGTATTAAATATTTTTTAAATGTACTATTTAACCCGATTATTCGTTTTCAATAAATATCCGTTTTGTTCGGTCATTTTGAATGATTGTTGTTGCTTTATTTTTCAGTTTTAGAAACCAAATATAAAATACAAACAAAACTGAACGTGAAAAAAGAATAGAATGTTCAACTTGTAATGTCATTTGAACCAATATTATGTGACCGTCGCATCGCAGTAAAATGAAGACTGTTTGGCTGTTTTTATTCATGACATACGGTCTGACTCAATTGCAATATACAATTATACATTTTTTAGCATTTTTTTTTCGTCTTCAATAAAAACAAATCAAAAATCAAATCTTTTTGTATACTAATTGTTTATTTTTTTTTTTCTGTGACAAATCAATTCGAATACAAAATTAAAAATGAACATTTTGTTCGGTCGGGTTCACATTATGCAAATAAAACAAATGGCATGTGGAATATGTATTCCTTTGCTGCATATAATCCTTTGACACGATTAAAGCGTTACAAATTTTTAATTTAACAGATCGCTTTAGATAGAAGATTCAGACTTTATCGCTTTGAATTAATTGTTGACTATAGTTCTTATCCATTTCCAGTTGTTTTACACGAGCATAAAGACTGCTTCCGAATAAAACGACAACATTTGAAAGCCACCACAGTGTTGATCGATTCTCGTGGTTCCAAGTGCTTGCTAAAACTGTCTGGGCACATGCTTTGGCCGTTCCCGAGATGTTATGCGTTAACGGTGAAGTGACTTTGATTTGAAGTGCGGTTACATATCCAATCGAAAAACCGCAAATACCACCCACAGAAAGAGCCATCCATAACCAAAGCTCATTCAAATACCTATACTCGAACACACTACGAATTTCACCACTAAACAACATCAATGGGATAAAAAGAAAGATTGCATATACATTTACATAGTAATTTAGCAGCAACACTTGATCGTTTATCTTTGGCAACGTTTTCTTTGTATATATAGAATATAGCGATAAACTTATCGATCCCAAAACACCGAATATCGTCCCCAAGAGAGAAAATGAACCTGCAAACGATTTTTTTTTTAAAAACGTTCTAAAGTCAGAAAATTGATACTTATTTACCACTAACACTTTCTTGATCAACACCAAGCCAAAATCCACCCACAATTATCGCACAGCATAATATACAATTGAAACTTGATGTTTGTCCGAGTAGTGTATACGAAAGTATTACATTAAATACTGTTGTTAAGGATCGTCCAATGTAGTAAAATGAAACGGGTACATGTTTCAAGCACAAATTATTCAGGGATATCATTGCTGTAAATAGGATTGCAACCGGCATTGCCTAAACAAAATTCGAAAACTTAGAAAGAGCAAAGAATAATGGAAAATATTTTGATTTTTAGATACTCACCGTTTTGATTATATTTTCGCTGAAAACATCATATGGATTTGGTAAATATGATCGTTTTATTAGACCTAATGCTAAACATATCACAACGGAAATGATGCATTGTATCCATGTGACGAATAGCGGTGCATCCAATTGGACAGTATCACTACTTAATAGTGCTTTATTCACAAAAACTGTCACAATCGAAATAATCCTGTTTTTGGTTTGAAGATATAAGACAAAGATTTTAAAATTATAAATTAAACATTGTGTCAATTGGAACGTAGATTCGATATGCATAGATTCCAATGAAGATTACAGATTCCAGTAGTGCACAGAGAAACAGTTTTGGTACAAACTTCCCTTCGCATTTAACAACATTTTTTCTCTGTGTGTGAATTTGGATTTTCGAATGTCGGCATTTGGTTTTGCCATATTGATGCTGTTTCTTTCAGAATGCATCATATTGAAATGCCTTTCATGAAACGACAGCAAAAATGGCATGTATTTTTGTGCTCAACATTTTTATTCGAGATCGTTACGATATTTCATTACTCAAAATGAGCATGGTTTTTTCATTCTCTTTATGCGGACTTTCTTTGATTGTGTAGCCATGAATAACGCTAATTGGTAGGCTTTATGAAACCAAAGAAAGTACGCACAAAAAGAATGTAATGAACACTACAATATTTTCTTGATATGCATCATAGTGTACACGACTTACTTTCAAACAACCACCACCAGTGTCATGACAATCTAACTCTTCAGGCATTCTGTTCATCATGGCGTTCGTAAAATGAACTTCAAACGACCAGGCGATATGAACAAATTGTGCAACCGGCCGCCAAATCGATTTGAATTAAATCAACCATCACTTACGTTGAAGCTGCCGGATATACAGCAATGGACCATATACCGGTCGTTTCGAAACATAACAACTAAATACACAACTACTTTGGCACCTTGATATATTGTACTGTAAATATATATGCACTGTAACTACGTGGAAAACCCCATACACATAACCTACGTTCCATGATTGATAATTATTTTTCATAATATGCTCACCAGTATATAGCCACGACAGCGGCTATTTTAATATACTTTGTAAATAAACTATTCGAATCAGCTGTTGTCATTTTTTGTATAATTTGTGGTATTCTCCTAAAAACTAATCGAATTACCATGGCTATTAAATACTGTGATACTTAAAAAATACAAGAAAAAAAAAATTGTCGATTGTTGTTTGTTTTGCAAATCTAAATTGTTATTGTACTTATTTAGAACTGTCAAAATCGTTTTAATGTTAAGTGACGTTTACACTCAATTTACCTTATCGAACGCTAGAAGAGTAATGAATCTTTCAATTATAGATAGTAGATACGTTAATAAAACTTTTGAAAATAGATTTTTTTTGTTTGATTTTAATTATGTAACAATAAATATAAATATAAATACTGTACTTTATTTGTAAATATTTAAATTGGTTCATGCATCTTTTGGTTTGTTCAGTACAGTTTCGCAGCTTTAAAAGCCATACAATGCAAACACAAGTGGTTTTGAACATTTGTAACATTTAAAAGTTTATTTTCACTCTTCCATTCTTCTTCTTCTTTCGTTGATAAATAATTTTTGCGAAAAAATATTACAAAATTACACTCAGAAAGTACAAAATATGTTTTTTTTTTAAATTATTTAATAGTTAATAAATTGTATTTAATTTCTCCATTTTAAAACTCGAAACTCGGTGTCTTCTTTTGCCACAATTCGATGCCACAATTAACTATTTGATCAGCACTTTCCTGGTTCTCCTTCAGCTATGCAAATATTGGAGATTTGATTTTGAATTTAAAAAAAATCGAAATTTCTTGACTAACAAAATACTTACATTGTCAATTATTGTTAAAATTTCGGATAATTGAGATGCATTGGACAATTTTGATGTACGCCATATCCAATTGAATAGTGTCACAAATACAAAAATAACGATTTTCCGTGATCCGCCACAAATCTTATCCCATATTCGGATGAGTGATTGATTTGAAAAGATGCCAGCAAAGCATGTACCATACCTAAAATAACATAAACGAACGGCGTTCAACATATCATTTATTATGATTATTTTATTTTTATACCAACCATTGTTCTAACGGCAGTGAATCGAGTAAATTATTTTCATCCAAATATCTGTAGAAAAAAATGTAAGAAAAGAGAATTTCAGTGTGTTTTCGATCTAAATAAAGCATAAAAGTAACTCACTTATAAATTGTTTGATTCTCCTTTTCTAGTAATTTGTACGATAAGTCTTTGAGTTGAACAAAATCACGGGACACTTCTAATGCACATTTATAAAAACCTTTGGTAATCCAGTATAAATCAATTTCATTCTGGAACGTGTGTTGCAAGGCTTCGGTGATGATAACAAAATTACAGCGATTCTGTTTGGAGAATTAATTGATTAAATCATGCACAATTGTGTTATTTGTCTATAATTGATGCAATTACATTAATGTTAACACACAACCGTAGTTGCTTATTTTCGAGCAGCCACATGGCATAAAGTACAGTTGGTATTGGAGTTTGTTCGTTTATGATATTCATGACTTTGAGGGCACTGTGCAAATCTTCGAACACTTCACGACGTTGGGTCATCACAAATAATTGACAGTCAGGATGAACAGGCGCCACATCTGATTTTTAATTGAAAAAAATACATATATTAAAATCATTTCAAGTCTATGTTGAGCTGTACACAAAAAAAAAGCAACAATTACCCAATAAAATGTTCCATAGTAAATTCCGATAAACAGCTGGTACCGAGTAACTCAAACAGAATTGTTTTAGTTTTGATCGATTGAGTGGTTTTTCTTTTAATAGTATCTCAAGCGATTTTCGCTCTTCAACACTGCGACATCCAACCTTTTCGAAATACTTCGATCGGAAATTTCTATCGTCGGTGCTCATTGTTGATGGTAAAAGTGGTTAAATAGTTGCAAATATTCGCGGTTGAAACCATTGAACAATCATTGTCTCGTCGAATTAGATTGACATTCAAATGCCGCAATATTTTCGAGTTGACATTGATTATTTTGTTGATTGAAATCACAAAATTGTTTGAATAAAAAGTTAAAAATTTATTTGACATATTCAAACAATTTGTGTGTGAAAGCTTTTAAGTTGCGAAAAAGAGATAACATGATATTTCCAATCATACAACGATACTAAATAACACACACCACATACATGTGTATGAAAAACTGTCAAAACAATGCCGTTAATTAGACTGGGGTATGTTCAGTTGAACGCACCCCATTTTGTTTGAAATGTATTTCTTTCGGTCGGACTTTTTCTTACATACTTTACGATAATGCTACATATATATATATTTTTTTTTTTGTTGTTGTAGTAATTGCGAACTTGATTTAACTTTGGTCAATATTAATTCAATTTGTTCCACGTTTTATTTTTAATGTGTACATTGAGAGTTCATTATCAGTAATATAAATGAGCATTTAATTTTTGGCTGTCATTATATACACGTCGCATTCAATTTACTTCATTGTGTCAGTTGCGTGACAATAACTAATAGAACAGAACGAATAGAAAACCACTTCTTTGCTCATCGAAATATACATAAACAACACGGCAAAATCATTGTCAATAACATCGATGATTTTTTTGTGTAGAAATAATCAGCAACAATATATTGATAATTTATTTTCCGCCAGTTGGTGATCCTTAGATAAAGTCCAAAAAGGAAGAAAAAAGAACCAATCGTCGTGAACAAGTCGTGAAAATATTATAGTTTTTTTTAAATACTATAAAAACACAATGATGTGGATAAATTCTTTTTTTATACTACTTATAAGCTATTTTACGTTCATTAATGCCGATGAATATATGAAACGTGAATTTTCTTTGGTGAAACCATATTTTGGTGGGTAGCATTTTCATTGAATATATTCGAGTTTTTCTCGGTGCATTTTTAATTCGTGTTTGCTTTGTATAGGTGCCGGTATGACGCTGCCTTATTGGGATTTTACCGGTTCCACATTGGTTACATCAAATTATATTCGTTTGACACCAGACATACAGTCTCGAAGTGGTGCTGTTTGGAATTCAGTGGTAGGTACCCATTTTGTCATCATTTTGGAATATTTTTGAAAATGTCATTTTTTTTTGTTTTTGCAAAGCCATGTATGACACAAAATTGGGAAGTGAATATAAACTTTAAGGTCTCGGGAAAGGGAAAAGATCTTTTTGGTGATGGATTTGCGATTTGGTATGTATCATGTCTATATTTAGACTCAAACATTTTAATATCTCTTTAAAGTTAAGTAAGTATGGTTTGAACACACATTTGAAAGGAATTGTAGTAGCCGGAAATTTTTTGATTTAGTAGTCATAGTGTTTTCCACGGAGGTGATTTTTCGACACCAAACCCGACCAAAGATATTATCCGAGACTATTAAATCCGATACCGACAGATCCGAGAAGTTGGTGGTCGGATTTATTTCGGTAAAAACACGAAATTATTATACAAAATGGAATTGGAAAAACATCGCAGCAAAGTGTCGAAGTGCATTTTTTTCGCTTCACATAGATCGATTTAAACTACCAAATCCCGATTTTAGGCAATGTTCAAGACTTGTGTTCATTACTTTACTCTTAAATGTATATGAATGTATAAATTCTTTTTTTTCCTTTGTAATTTCCCTCATTTTGGGGATGTATAGTCGAATGTCCGCACATGTGAAAGTCGAAACTTGAGACTAGGTTTAAATAATTGTACCAAAAATGTACCTAATCGTACCGCAATTTATTTTTAATTGTACCTTACTCGTTTGGATAATATTTGAGGTTTAAATTTCGGGGCACTTCAATTTGCCGGTCAACTAGCCAAAATAAAACTCAAAGATATTTTTTGAATTTTTATGGCTGATAATAATTGTACCCAAAATGTACCTTCAAAATAGCAACATCATAAAGTCATTACTTGGATGATGTTCTTCTGCAGAGCAGGTCCTTCAAAATTCACGGGGGTTCCCCGAACAAATGGCAAAAATGAAAATCAACGATATTTTTTGGATGATATTTTATTTTATATTGTATACAAAATAATCCTATATAATTGCTATTTATGGCCATTTTAGGTATGCGAGAGATCGCTTGGTAAATGGACCAGTGTTTGGAAGTAAAGATTTCTTCCATGGATTAGCTATTATATTAGACACTTACAGTAATCACAATGGACCACATAATGTAGGCATTAAATACATTGATAAAACAAATTTGACCTTGAATTAATCGGATGATTCCAATTTCCGTCACAGCATCAACATCCATATATTAGCGCCATGATAAATAATGGTACATTGAGCTACGATCATGATCGAGATGGTACGCTTACACAAATTGCCGGCTGTGAAGCAAAATTCCGTAATGTTGACTATGAAACACACATCAGCATCAAATATTTGAACGAAAAACTAACGGTTATGACTGATTTGGAGGATAAACACGAGTGGAAAGTTTGCTTTGAAGCCAATCATGTTAAATTACCAACTGGATACTATTTTGGAGCATCGGCTACAACTGGTGATTTATCCGATAACCATGATATCATCTCATTTAAATTCTACGAACTAGAACCAATTGTTGATGTAAGTTCGAGAGTTTTGAAAAATTACAATATGTATTACCACCCTTATTCCAATTCTGCTTTCGTTACATTGTAGGATGCAACATTAGAGGCGAGGAAGAGTATTATTCCATCGGCTGAAGTGTTGGAAGCTCCACGAGAAAGAAAAGAAGATTTAAAACCAGGAATGTCAAATGTCAAGGTATAATTGTCCTTATTATTTAATTCAATTTCATTCAAAACTCTTACAAAATCTTTTCTTTTTCAGATCTTTTTCTTGATTTTGTTCGGTATGATATGCACCATAGTTTTAGCTATTTTTGGTATTATGTATTACCAAAAACGTAAAGAATCATCACGAAAACTTTGGTGATGTCGTTGAAAAACCAAAAAAGCAATCACACAAAAAAAAACATAGCATTTTGTACAAACCCTAGCACTGGTTTAATGTAAAAATATGATATGGAATTGTTGCAACTTAAAAATACTTTTTTTTTCGCAAAAGAACATGTTCTTTGGATGTATGAATTATTTTGAGCAGAATTGTCATTTCTGTGAAGAATAAAAAAATGAAACAAAACTGATCTGTAATGTATTTGTTGTTTGTGTGGTGACCGATTGTAATAAATTATCTTAAATTCAAAATAGTTTGTTTGAATTTGCCTATGGCACTTCCTTAAATCGTCCAAGCTACCCCCTAGACGGCAAGTGGGTATTTCTTTTGATTTGCTTCGGCAAGAACAGCTACTGTTTTCGGGGAGATGGAACAATTCTTTCGATTGTCTAGGGTCCAATAAAATAAAAACTGTTCTTTCACCGCAACGGAAATATTAAATAAAAGTAGGGCATAGCTTATTTGTGAGATTTTTTTAATCAAACTTTTACGTATATTACAATTTTTTTTTCTTGTTTATATCTTGTATTGGTTGGTTCTTATTATATATTATATTTGTTATTGTTTTAAATCTATCTGAATGTGGATTACAAATATTTTTCAAACAATCATCATAGAGCAAGGTGTAAAATTCTATATTTTTCAGAAACAAAATAAGTATTTCGTGAGAAACGAACAACATCTGTTCATTCCACAAGAGCTTGAACAGACACATTTAAAATACGAATTCATCTATTTAATTCAACATAGCAGACATCCAATATACAAAACTTGGCTCTGAAACAAACAAAATGTGTGAAAAACATTGAATTTTAATAGATATAACTCTTTTACCTGCACATCGGGCAGCTGCATTTCTGTTGTAACCAAATTTCTTTCTCTTGTTGATCTTGTCGCGATGCAAACCATTTTGCTAAACAGTCAACGCACCTATGAACAAAAAAAAAAAAAAAAAACAAATCAAGTTCAGGACTAAATAAACATAAAATATTTTTATAAATACCACATTGGTCGGCAATAACAATTAGTGCATCCATGCTCGTTATTCGTGTCGTCATTACCAAATTCGTTTGTACATTTCTTTTGGAGTTTAACATTCGGCCGAGCTTGCATACAGGCAAAACAAAGATCCAAAATCACCTTTATACAGAGAATAATAAAAATTAGTGTAAAAAACAGTTAAAAGAAGATATCGATAAAATATATAGCAAAACTTACCTCATCCGTGGTGTATGTTGGATTTAAAAGGACTTGTTGTTTGAATACTTCAATAAATCTACAAAAAAAATTAATGACATATTTCAAAACAACAAGAAAAAAAAATTCTAATTTTAATTCATACCTATCAATGACGGTCTTGCTGAACGTTACACCATCCAAAATTGTGATTGGTCGCATCATTCGATCTTGAAGGGTCTTAAAATCCAATGCATTTATACGAATTATAAATTCGGATACGCCGACACGAGTTGGTTTTACTTTTATATTTACAAATTGTACCGACTCCGTGGAAATTTCGCTTAAGTCATGTGAATCACTCTGAATTTGAATGGAATGATTGGAACAGTTTTAAATGTGAGAAAATTTTATGAATTTATGTTTGTTTTTATTTTTTCACTCACTCGAATAGCTATGAGTGCTGTATCACTTTGATGAGCCACCGAAACACTATAATAAGAAACTTTCATGATCCAATTTGCTGTTGCAACAACTGAATGAATCGCACTCGTTTTCATACATAATTTGTTATCGCTGAAAAAGAAATAATTGAACATGTCTTATTAGGAATAATTGAATCGTTAATAAACATACATCAAAAATGTGTGTGATCATGTACCGTCTGTTTTCGGCATTAATATCACGCGCCGCTTGGATCCAATTCTCACGACTGTATTTTTGAAGATTTTGAGCAAGCGGATGATTCGCATAGTTATCCTTACACCAGTAGTAAATAACGGTAGCCGAAATTACCGGTAAAATCATCAAAAAGAAAATCAAAAAATTCCAAAGAACGAATATCGGAAACACTTCCGCATTGTATTCAATTATATCGCCGAACTTGAGATAATAACAAACAACATACAATGTCGGTAGTATTGAATGAATTAATAGCGTTAAACATGTTCGTCGCAAATGATATTGAATAAATTCAATATCGCTGCTACCCAGATATGAACTGAACACATTATTTATTGTAAGTCCAACTGATTCGAATTCCTGCGGCGGATATATAATCCCGAATGAAAATAAAAAGAAAAGTATACTAAAACCAAATTCTGCCTCTTGCATGTTTACGTTTGGCGACTTGCTACTGACTACTGATGACATCGACGACAATGTTTTTTACTGTCACTTATAGATGTCACTTCGTTTCAGTTTTGTAAATTTTATTGAATTTTCTTTTATGATAATTATTTGAAGAAAAAACAACTATTTTTTACATATTTAATTTTATTTTAATTTTTAAGATTATTTTCAATTTTATTCCGATGCCGAAAATTCAATGACATCAAACCAATCGTGTCATCTCCAAATTTTACATGAATTATCCTTTGATGCCGTTAGAATGGCATTTCCTTGAAAAGCAAAAGAAAAAAAAACATCAAGATTTATAACAAACTTTTAAAATGATTTGTTATTTACCTGGATAACTGAATTCACATGAAATTACTTCATCTGTATGACCACTCAAGACTTGTGAGCATACGCCAGTCTCAGTAAACCATATACGGGCAGTTTTGTCAGCTGATGCTGTAAGAACTAAATTTCCAACTGGATTAAATCTTACCTTTTTTTGTGTTCGGATGTGAATAGAAAAAGACCAAATTTAAAATTTCGAAGATAATAGATAATTATTGTCGAAGCTAACAAACCCGTGAAATTTCATCAGTATGTCCTAACATTGTTGAAATCAGTTGAAAATCATTTTCTGTGCTCCATATTTTACAAGTACAATCATTGCTGCACGTTGCCAACATTTTACCCGTATAGTTGAAACAAATGTCGAGCACTTCATCACTGTGACCGTCAATTATATGGCATGACCGTACATCTCGTATATCCCAAAGACGGGCAGTGAAATCTATTGAACTAGTCGCTATCATTGTGTGATCATAGTTCCATAAACAATTACTGAGCTCCGCTGTATGGCCGGCAAGTCGCATTGCCACGCTGACATTCAAAATAAACATTAACACAAATTAACAACAGTTTTTGATTATTGCTTAATGTGAAACGTAGTTGATTTAATCAAACATAGGAGTGTGGTGATTTTAAAGAGCATAAGAAGAGATATGGAGTTTGAATTTTCCCAAAAATGTTTTTTTTTTTTTCATTTTTAAGTCATTTAACTTTCTGAAGAGTACTTCAATAGTAGCGGTTTGGACAAAATGAGAAAAAAAGTAAACTGTTTGAGCTGAATTTAAGATATGCTTTAAAGGTGCCTAATAATATAGGTCTACGTTTCACATTAAGCCTAATGGCCAGAGTCTGGCGGTGTGTTTTTTTTTTAAATATTACTCTTTCGTTCTCAAGTCCCACAGATAGGCATTTGCATCAAATGATCCTGTCAACACAATATTTTCATTTTTATGAAAATGTGCTACAATGACTTCCCCATCATGATTAGCGGAATGCATTTCGATGCCGGTTTCCACATCGTAAACTCTTGCTGTTGTGTCCATCGATCCTGATACCATCAATGTCGATGACTGATTAAACTCCGATGTAACTACTTCGGCAGTATGTCCATAAAATGTTCGCATGCACAAACCATTTAAGGCCGACCATAGTTTGGTGGTTTTATCAAATGAAGCAGTCAAAATCTTATCACTATCGAAAATGAAATTAGGATCGTTTTCATTTCGCTTAAAATCGCTTTCGTGTGTTACCAAATTGGATAATTATATTGAACTGCAAACACGGCATTTTGATGTCCATTGAGTACAAACAATTCTTTTCCGATTTCCACGTCCCAAATACGCGCAGTTCTGTCATATGAACCTGTAACACAGCTAAAATGAAATGTATTTATAATAAGGACTTTGGCATCAAAGCAATATTATTAAAAACCTGTTTCCTTCCCTACTGAATGAAACATTTGTTATTGGTAATATATTTGATTTAAGTGATTTGAAGTGATAAAATTTATTCTTCACTGGAACACGTAATTTTTTCTGCAATTTTCGCAATGAACTTAAAATCTCTGGCCGATATTCATCATCTAGAAGGCGTTCGGTTGAACACAGATCTCGTGCTGTTTCTTCAATATTTGTGCTAATACAATCGGGAGGGATTTTCATTACATCCTTATATTTTGGACTATTGCCTCATTCAATTTTACCTTGTATTCAAATCAAGACAATCTATCATTCTGACCCTTTCCGCTGAGCCATTGGAAAAAGACAAACCAATTCCTTTTTTTAAAAAAAAGTGATCCGAATTATTATTTGTATTGAATTTTTTTAATAATGCAACAAAAATTTGAACGAACCGGGTGGATAATATCGTAAATAAATTTTATCAAGTTCCATTTTTATAAGAGAAAGGAAAAAAAAAACGAATAAATAAACTGTTGCAGTTTGATCAATAAAGTCCTATCCCATTAAACACATCCACTTGCCATGTTCAATTTATGTTTGTGTATTAGCTGTCATTTTTATACTTGCCTTGTAAGTTAAAACTTAAAAAAAAAAATGTCGGTATCATCAAATATTACAGATAAATTTAAATTTAAATTTTAAAATTGAATAATTGGCAAATTCAAATAAAATATCTTTTTTTTTTGGGAACAATAATTTATTGTTTTCATTCCATTTTTAGGTGGTTGTACCATACGAAGACTTCAAGCGAGAAGTGTTACAATAACGGTTGAATATTGAATAACCGGCTTCCAAATTTCAGTGTTATGCCATATACAATGGGCACTCATTTGACTCAATGACTTTATTGCGGTATCTTCCATGTCATTCGATCACTAAATTGACGTAAATTTGCTAGTATTTTTGATCTATTTCTTGCCTGAAAAAATGCTTCCGGGAAAAATTCATACAGAAGAAAAATGTTCAGAAAGTTTGATGGTGAATATTAATCTATAGAATTCGAGTACGATGACATGTATCTTGTTGGAAATGTTCTCGACGTTGAAAATCAATGAAAACCTAGATGAAAACGTTGAATGGAGCAACGTTATATTACTATCTTATTTATTGTTGTTTTTTATTGTTACACACTGGAATTGATTTCTTATTTGGCCTCGCAAAAATTTTACATTCTACTGTCAGTAACGAAATATGTATAATTGTATATAATAAGTTCTAAAGAGAAGGGGAGAATGGTTTCAGTCGTATAAAATATGAATTTAAAACGTTTTTTATAATCTATTTCGCATATCAGAATAGAAGATGTGATTTCAAGTTCAAATGTCAAATTCTTATCAAAATTGAACCTCTGGTCTAGGGCAATTATCTGATCCAGAGCAATTTATCCAAATTAACAGAAAAATTCAACAATTCATCGAAATTATCGAATGTTTATGGCAAAAAAAAAACTTGTTTTCAAAGCCACGGGTATCGAATAAATATAAATTTGTCTTTCGAGGTCATGAAAACCAAAAGTTGAGATTATTATTTAACTTAAAACCACTTTCACGTAAATCCAGTTTTATATTGTAATCGAACTATAATAACAGTTGGTTATTTGAATACCGTCGCCAAAAAATATCGATGTATGCGTTTCGATTGTTGTTCATATATTCAAATAAATTTGCTTGAATGTGTACAAGCTTAAAAAAAGAATGCTTGAACGCATCCCTTCTCTATTTCATGACTAGCGACTGTGGCGACGTAATTCGGTCGTTGGTGTTTGAAAATGTCAAACGATATGTCATTCATACATAGCACACGTATGCCGGAGTTGTATTGTTTGGCAATGTGTTGTAAAAGGAAAAGAAATGAAAAACCGAAACAGACCTGAAAACGTAAACGAAACCAGTCGGCCGCATAGAAAAGAACCACGTATACAGCCACATATTTACTACAAAGAGAAAGAAAGGGACAGAATGAAAATCTGTACACGCCACTGCGAATAGTAAATGTGATTTTTTTTTTGTAAACAACCACACACTTTTTCATCTGTTTAAATGATAAAGTATCGAGTGCTATTTTATATCAAACAACAGTTTATACTTTCACTTGGTGTTGGATGGATGTTAGAAAATCGCTAGCTGGGTTAATGCAAACATTTTCGTTCAGTGATTGTTATTTTTTTCTATTAAATGTAAAAGAATTTTCTGTCATAGCAACACCATCATCATCACTTCACACCATCGCTAAAACCGCGTAAAACAACAACACTGCCACCAGTAATAGCGGAAATTGAAGAAAAAAAATAATAGTGATCATGACTGCAATCGAAACAATACGGAAACACCTCGAGAAATATGGACAAGAGCATTTGATTAAATTTTGGGACGAAATTGATGATGAGCAGAAAAAACAATTGAAGCAAGAAATCGACGAGCTGAAATTCAGCGAACTGCTATCATTTTACGAACGTGTTACCAAGTCGGAAACAGAGAATGCAGAAAAATTAGACGACAAACTACAACCCATCGAAGAGTCACAATTCCTATCCGTTCGCCACACATCGCTTGCGTCGATAAAAGAATATGAATCGAAAGGTTTGGAACAAATTTCGGAAAATCATGTGGGTGTTTTGCTGATGGCTGGTGGCCAAGGTACACGACTCGGTTTCTCACATCCAAAAGGAATGTTTGACGTTGGTCTACCATCCAAGAAGAGTCTGTTTCAAATTCAAGCTGAACGGATTAGAACACTGCAACGGTTGGCATTTCAACAGACTGGTAAAAATGGTCGCATAACATGGTACATAATGACGAGCGAACATACAATGGAACCGACAAAAGCATTTTTCGAACAAAACAACTATTTCGGTTTGGATGCGGATGATGTGATTATGTTTGAACAAGGCAGTTTACCATGTTTTGGATTCGATGGCAAAATATTACTCGATAAAAAGCATGCCATTTCAACAGCACCAGATGGAAATGGTGGAATTTATCGTGCCCTAAAATCACAAGGAATTTTAGATGACATGGAACGACGCGGTGTTTTGTATTTACATGCACATAGTGTTGACAATATATTGATCAAAGTGGCAGATCCAGTTTTTATCGGTTACTGTGTGTTACAAAATGCCGATTGTGCCGCCAAGGTTGTTGAAAAGTCACAACCAAATGAAGCAGTGGGAGTCATTTGTATGGTTGATGGTAAATATCAAGTGGTTGAATACAGTGAAATCTCAGCAAAAACATCGGAGCTACGCAATTCAGATGGTCGACTCACTTTCAATGCCGGCAATATTTGCAATCATTTCTTCAGTACAGAGTTTTTAAATAAAATTGGAAATAAATATGAACAATATATGAAATTGCATGTGGCCAAAAAAAAGATACCATTTATTGATAATGCTGGCAAACGATGCACACCAGAAAAACCAAATGGTATAAAAATTGAAAAATTTGTATTCGATGTATTTGAATTTGCTGAAAAATTTGTGGTATTTGCGGTTGAACGTGATGACGAATTTAGCCCACTGAAAAATGCCGATAGTGCGGGAAAAGAGTGTGCAACGACGGCTCGCAATGACATTTATCGTTACCATAAAAAGTTAATTGAAGCAGCTGGTGGACAAATCAATGGTGATGTATGCGAAATATCACCACTTCTTTCATATGATGGCGAAGGACTTAAAGATATAGTTGGTGGACAAACTTTCATGGCCCCAATCCATTTGAAGAGCACCGAAGAATCGAACAATATAACCAATGGTCACTAGCACCGACTTAAATAAGACTTGTGTATTTTGTTTAAATTATACTTGTTTTTCCACTTTTTTGTTTTCATTTTTATTGCATTTGCATTAATTTCAACGTCTTAAACATAAATCGGAATTAATATTTTTGTTTTTCGCAATATTTTAATGTAAAATATCTGATGTAACAGATAAAATCGTTTCTTTCGACAGCATCATATTCGTCAATAGTTTTTTTTACAAAAAAAAATAACATCAACTATATCAAGTTTGAAAATAATTATTGTAGAATAGAATTTATTAGTAAGATTTTCCTCTTGTTACACATCTGTTTTTTTTACTCAAATTTGTATAATAAAAATTATTCAATTATATCGCTTTTTTAAATATTTTTCTCTATTTTTTATTGCATTACATTTGTGAATTTCATATGGAGTGCCACACTTTTGTAACTAATCAATATTTAAAATTCAGTTTATTGGTAAGTAAAATTTGTTCCCAACCAAAATGTCACGAAAATCTGTTTTTCAAATGAAATAACAGTAAATAACAGTCCAAATATATGTGATAATCATTTTTATGTAGTGCTTTTGCTCGATCAGCGGAAATTATATCCATACCAATACAAATTATGCGCTTAGCACAATTCGCGTGTTCTTTTTTTTAGCACATATCGTTATATGTCAATTAACAAATTCTATCTGTTACGTTTATACACATATTTCGGAAAAAAAAAATTCGGTCTTTCCTCAGTTCATATTCATTGGTCATCAAGCTTGTACATTTAATCGACTTAAAAAAAATTGTCAAAGTGAAGAAAAATGTCATTTAACAAAGTAATTGCCATTTTTCTAATTAGTTATCCATACTTCATAACTGGATTAGTTTGTACGGGTTGCCTGGAATTGGATGAACTTATTTTTGATAAAGTATTGACCAAATTCTCAACTGTTTTAGTCAAATTTGATATAGCCTTTCCATATGGAAAACAACACGATGAATACGCAAAATTTGCTAAAGAAATAAGTGAACATAACTTTGACAATATGATTGTTTCAGTGGTTGGTATTAAAAACTACGGCGATTTAACTAATAGTATTTTAGCTGAAAGATTTTCCATCGACAATCAACTGCCCGCAATCAAATTATTTTCCAATGGCGATTCGACCAAATGGACTGACTTTCCACGAGGTACTTACTTTAATTTGAATCTATTTTTGAGCGTTTGTTTTCAATCAATATTCAATTCAAATGATTAGATCAGAATATTACGGTCGAAAATTTGCGACAATTCATTCGACGAATGTCGGATGTTAAAATCGTTCTTCCCGAATGCTTAAAACAATTTGATGATTATGCAAAACAATTTGTGGACGTAATACAGTTTAAATCAATAGAAGCCGAAGAGATCGTAAACGAAGCAACCAACGAAGCAGCAAAATTAGAAAACGAACACGTATGCATTGCCTTTATAATTTCAAATTTAATTGCATTTTTCTTTTTGATAATCTTCCAATTTGTTTTTCACTAATGCAATTATATTGTAGGAACAGAAAACTGCGCAAATCTATTTACTATTCATGCGGCAAATACTACAAAAAGATATCTATTTTATTGGAGCGGAACGAACACGATTACAGCAGATCTTAAATGGAAAAATTAGCAATGAAAAAAGAAAGGAAATCAATCACAAGTTGAATATTTTATCAGCATTCCATAAGCCGACTGACTACACAACGCATCATAATGAGCTCTAAAACGATTATAGCAGTAATAGTTCATGAATAATATGTTTTGCTGATTGCTTTGAAAAGTAAACAAAAAATAAAAAAAATGATATCGTTGTAACAGTAAATTTCATGTCGTGTCAATTTTATTTTGTTTAAAAAAAAGAGTAACAAGCGTCAAATTGACGTGACCGATAATATAATTCACTTGGATGTCAATATTTTGATTGTCGTGTACAGTTCACTACATATAGTCACAAACATATACATACAGAAACATACACATGCACTGTCAACAAACCTGTGTAGTCCAGATAAGAATATTTTATTACTCTTTCTTAAGCGGAGATAATCTAGTGTGTATTTGAACAGCCATCGATTTACGTGTAAATAGAATAAAGTAGACGAATGGCTTCATTTATTTCAACTGGTAAATTTGATTCGTCAATTATTTTTTGCAAATATTTGATGTTTGCTACTTCAATTTTATTGACATTTCGTCGATAAAAAAAAAATTATCTTTTATAGATCATCAACATCAAAGATTGAACCCATTAACTGGCCAATGGGTTTTGGTGAGTCCACATCGTTTAAAACGACCTTGGAGCGGTCAATCGGAAAAATCACAATCTGAGAATAATGAGGTGGATTTCGATCCATCAAACCCTCTTTGTCCGGGCGCCACAAGAAACGGAAAGGTTTGTTAAAGCCTAAATAAGTCGATCACGCATTGAATTCATCAATTTTTCGACAGGTGAATCCAAAATACGAATCAACCTATGTATTTCCAAACGATTTTCCAGCACTTTTGGAAGACACACCATCACCAATGCCCAGTGATGATCCACTATTTCAAATAACCGATGCCAAAGGAACTTGTCGCGTGATGTGTTTTCATCCGAAACTGAATAAATCTCTGCCGATTATGTCACATGAGGAAATTGAGCATGTTATTGATGAGTATGCACTTGAACATCATTTGCACTTTTTGCAACGTCATCTATTAAAATACCTTATCTTATGCAGATGGATGAAACAGTACAAGGAGCTCAGTCCAAAGTATAAATGGGTGCAAATATTTGAGAATAAAGGCGCTGCCATGGGTTGCAATTATTTTTTTTTAATTATATTTTACATTTTTTTAATCAATTAATGTGATTCTCCACTAGGTTGTTCCAATCCACATCCGCACTGTCAGATTTGGGCATGTAATTTTCTGCCCAATGAACCAGCAATGAAAGAAATCAATCTTAAGAAATACTATGATAAATATGGTAGTGCTATGCTTGAAGATTACGTAAAGAAAGAAGTAGTGCGTAAGGAACGAATCGTTATTGAAAACAAAGATTGGTTGGTCGTGGTCCCTTATTGGGCTGCATGGCCCTTTGAAACAATGCTCATATCGAGAAATAAATTGAAACGCATGGATGAAATCAATAGTTCGCAAAGAAAAAGTCTTGCTGTTGTTATTAAGCAATTGACCACTAAATACGATAATTTGTTCAATTGCTCATTCCCCTATTCAATGGGCTTTCATGGTGACTATAACATTTTGATACTGTATCAAACTAAATTCAAAATTAAAATTAAATTAATTTCAGGCGCACCGAGTGGCCCAACATCAGGTAATGAAGACGACTCACATTGGACATTGCACGCAATTTACTATCCACCCCTTTTGCGATCGGCTTCGGTGCGAAAATTTATGGTAGGTTTCGAACTTTTGTGTCAAACACAGCGTGATTTAACTGCTGAACAAGCAGCTCAACGCCTACGTGAAATGGACCAAGACGTTCATTACTCGCAAACGATTTAAAGGCATAAATAAATGTATACATCTTAGATAAAATAAATAAATTGCCAAATTATCGTTATTAATAATTGAAGTTTAATTCTAACCAACGAACATATTTATATTTTTCTAGATATCTTATTCTATATTTCCAATGAACAATTGTTATATATCAATTACCAGGCGACATGTTTACGGTTGAAATTAGAGCCACATATGTTTTTCAGCCATTTTCAACGTTACCAATGGAAGAAAAAAAGAGAAAAAAAGAGTTAGTTAGAAATACGAAATAAAGCCAAGAAAAAGTTGTTAATTAAAATGCATATTCCTATCACCTATCGTCGACAGTGGATTTGAATCAAGCGTTCAGAAAGACATACATTTATGCGAGCAATTGAATGATGCTTGCATCCAAATGTAGATCCAAATGTATGGCGACAGCACAATCGATGCGCATCAAATGATGCAAGCATCATTCAATCGCTCGCATAAATGTATGTCTTTCTGAACGCTTGATTTGAATCGGTTGTGCATACTTTATATATCACCTAAATTCCATTCCATTTTGACGATAGAAGTGAATTTGCATCTCAAAAGCGTTTCATTTTCAAAAAATCGTTACCATAATATAATTTTTTTTGAATTTCATTTTCGACTTTTCTGTCGACTTTCGATCATATGGAATTCTCTAAGTAAATATGCGACAAAATATCGTAAACGATGAAACATTGTGATTGGAATTTCGAATGTTTTGTATTCGCCACTCTGCATCATTATATGAAGAACGATTATTGGCTGAGCAATACGTTCAATGCCACTAGAAATTAACCAAAAACACAAATAATTAAAAGTATAATTCATGAAATGCATGTCTGTATTACCTGTCCATTAATGAAATATTAATACACCATTGCAAACGTTTCGGCGGTGATCGCATACTTTTCACATCGCAATAGTTCAACGTTAGAGACTCTCTATAGTTGAGTAAAACTTTTGAAAAATCACCGATACATTCATCAGTGAAATTAAGTTGTTTCAAACATTCGCGTAGATCTTCTTCACGGACACTGCCTTTTGGTGTACGTAAAAATAATTGCATTACTTGGAGTATAACGGAGAATAGTTCCCGAAAATTTTCCGGTATCTCAAATCCCGTTTGTGATAGTTTCGTAATTGCCAAATCGAGAATTTCCGGTGCACATACTCGACTTTCGATATAATGTACAGACACTGTAAAGAGAAAAACCAAATATTATGTCAGGCTATAGTATAATATTGATCGATTATTACCCTGTATTAAGACACGCAAAACGGGCCTAGTCAATTGCGGCACAAATATTGCATAATTTTGCAATCCCTTCAACAAATCTGTGCGTACAGACATTTTTCACAGGCTAAAAACAAGAGATATATTGAATTATTTTTTTTTGTTTGAGTTTTTTTGACGTTTCAGTATCGACTGTCAACAATGTACAATTTTGACAGTTGTATCACGTAGAATATAAACAAAACCAAAACTCAATTGAAATGGATTCGAATAAGCTAGTAGTAAATTTTTTAGATCCAAGTTTTGGTATTACGAAAATAAATTGTTCTTGTGCCGTGGACGATTTTTATTCGGTCGAAAATCTTGTATCAAGTGATGCTCAAAAATTAAGTCGAGGATTTATGGCATATAGGTAAAAAATAAGTTGAAAAAACGTGAAGTAAAAAATAATAATATTATCATGTATTCTTATTTTTGTTCAATAGTGTGGTAAAACCACCAGTCGAATTAGAAATCCATCTGAGCCATACCATTCAACTGTACTCGATTAAAATCTGGCCACAAATCAATTCACTTAAAAGTATTGGTTTTGAAATATATGTAGGTGGTGATGTGAATGATAAATATAACAAAATTGCCAGCCACTTTAATTTAGAAGAAAATGGTATACATTAATGTTGTTGTGGTTATTGCTTTGCAATTTTTTCATTATATGTTTCCGATTATTTTCCGATTATTTTCCGATTACTTATCGATTATTTTAAATTTTATTCTTTTCTTTTGTGATTCTCCCCTTAGGTATACAATTCGTCAATTCGATGGACAATATTGATCACACTGATGCAAATTTTATTATGGTACCATTTTATTCTTCTGCAAGATATAAACTGAGAAAAGTACAAAATATTAAATTAGTAATTAAACAAACTGCCAAATGTGTTCCAGTGATAAAGCGAATGGAAGGTGAAATCTAAGATCATATTCTTTGAAATAATACGAAAAATAATTTGATTTGAATCCATTATTTAATCATTTTATTTTTTCATCAAAGTTTGGGGAACAATTTCACAATTTGCATCAAAAGAACAAAGAGTAAACTTTCACCAAATGATGGAACGAAAAAACCAGCAAAATGAAAACGCCAAATCAGTTGAAACACCTTCAAATATTGCAAGCAATTCAGTACCATGTCTAAATCCAACCATCGATGTTCCAGAGGAATTTCTGGACACTCTCACATATGAAATAATGGCACTTCCAATGGTTCGAAAAAAAATATATTATTCACTACTATTAAATGTAACATCCAAATAATATATTGGTTTCATTTTTAGGTTCTTCCTTCTGGAAAAGTGATTGACTATTCAACGCTTCAAAAACATACGCAACAAGAAGAAAAATGGGGTCGAGTTGCATCGGATCCTTTCACATTTCAGCCATTCACCGAAACTCGAAAGCCAGTATTAAACACTCACCTTAAGTCACAAATTGATTCATTTTTATTAAAAAACAATACTGCACCACGAACTGTTGGAAACTGTACGAAACGAAAACTACAAGACAACGGAGAATGTAGCAACTGGGCTAAGAAAACTTTTGGATTACCTGCTCCGTCGACAGCAACACAGACAAACAGCCAGACCTTAGATGAAGCCATTCGGAACACATTAAATGTAGGAAAATATACAACGTACAAAGACAACGAATCGAATGATAATAAATGTTTTCAATGCCTTAAAGTGGCCAACAATACAATTTTGTATGAAATTCGTATTTGTTCACACTTCATATGTAGAAATTGTTTAGTTAATAATTTATGTTCCATTTGCTCTTGTGGAAAAGAATTTAGCAATCTTGATGTTACAAGACATCATCAAAAAATGACTTTGTAATTAATTAAAAATGTTTCGAATTCAAAGTGAATGTGTTTAATTTTACTATAGGCAAAGTTATCTTAAGGATTTTAACAACTATTAAGTCATTTTAAACATAGCTCGTCGAATTTGTAGTACTTGTTTCCTCACATGTGTTGCGTGGAAAACACAAAGAGAAAACCGATTTACCTTTTAAAGTATTTGCTCAAACTGAACAAATTTGCTATAATCGTTATGCCAATGTTCGGTTATTTAAAAATCAAAACCGAATCAAAATCACAGACAAACATACAATATAAAATTCCTTTTTATTGGTATAAACCTTTATTTATTAACAATCGAAAAGCATATTTACAGTACACTTAAAGGGCCATTGTCTTCGATTTTTTGTAGTATACTTCGAACCTCCAAAATCATGTTCTGGCAGACCGATACATCCATTTCCTTCAACTTTCGTTCGATTCGATCCATCAACTGTTGCTCGTTTTGAGCTTCCCAGCCCATCTCGTACACTTTACTTTTGAGGGCCGACCAGAAATCTTCGATTGAACGTGCCTGTGGAATGTTTGATGGGTTGTCCTCTTTCGGTACGAATGGTATATTTTGCTCAGTGAGCCAATTCAACGTTTCTATCGCATAATGACTGCTTGCAAGATTCGGCCAAAACATGATTTCGTCTCGTGCGTGATGGTTTTCAATAAATTGCTTCAGTTTTGGTAAGCATTGATCAATATAAACGTCAGAATCTATCGCTTCGGCTCTTTGTGGTCGAATAACTGGCGCTGAAATACCTTTCGATGATATGGCCACCCACACCAATACCTTTGGCTCAAATTTTGCCCCGCCGGCATTGTCTGGTGTTGTTTCAATGTTGTCAGTGTAAAAGCCATCATTAGCACTCAATTCATGGTGCGCAAAGGTAAAGTATGATTCGTCATCCAAAATGATGAATTTTTCATTTGAAAAATGTTTATCACGAAGTGCACGGCAACATTTTGGTATTATTTCGAGTTGACTCGGTTTGTATTTTGATGCTCCGTTTTGTTTACGATAAACAATGTTGTTTTTCTTCAAAATGCGATGCACTGTGGAGCTTGAAACTTCAAATTTTCGTGATAATCGTCGTGTTGACTGACCATCCTTGTTTTTAGCACTTGACAGCAGACTTTTCGTTGTCCGAACACTTAGTTTGGATGGACGACCCGGAATTTTTTTATTTTCTTGTTCCTTACCTTCCCGGCAATCCCTTAAAACACGAAATATGCTTGAACGTGAGATTGGTTTGTCTTTGAACTTTGCAAGTATTTCTTTTGTACTTAGTTTGCCAAAACAATCTGCGACACACTTGCGTAAATCCAGTTTGTACGACATTGCGAATGAATATATTTAAATTAAAAAATTATATGAAAGACAGAAATGTATCTAAACAAATACTGTTAAGCTTCGTTTTGATACATGCAGCTGTCATCTGAGAAATGTCATACTAATGCGTTCCGGATTCGAAATTCGAAATTAAAAAAAAAATCCATGCAATAAACGTTTTTTCAAAAAATATCTCACCGAAATAAGTTATTGTTTATATCTTTTCTACGAGAAATTATGTAACATAAATACTTTCGAAACAAAAAAAAATGTATTGAGATCTGTAATCTTAATACGAATATGATAACCAAGCTGTTGCCAGCGCCTCAAGTGAGTGGTGCTCAATTCACATTTATGACATTACTACAAATAAATGTAAATCTACAATCAGAGTAGTCTTTAAAAAAAAGGAATGTTCAAATAACTCACAGAAAAAGAATTTAAAAATGTCGATTCAATTAGTTCGAAATATATTCCGGCAAGGTATGATAACACGATTCAAAATATTTTAGTTTATGTTATTTTCACTATATTTTCTATACTTCTCTTCTACAAAACATTTGTAGGTTATATTCAGCGTGTTTTGAATACGACAAATAGCATTGCAAAATATTCAAGTCAATTACCATCCGGGGATGAAGTAATCGATGATGCAGAGCCTATAAATATAAAAAATCCGTACAAACGTGAAAATCGTCAATGTCTTTTATGCAAATTAAACCTTACGCCCGATTACAAGAATGTTCGTTTGTTGTCACAATTTCAAAGTATGTACACTGGACGCATTTATGGTCGACACATCACCGGACTATGCAAAACAAAGCAACAACAAGTTGAACATGCGATTAGACGATCCCACCAAGTTGGATTCATGCCACGCTATCATAAATATCCAGAATACAACAATGATCCAAAATTATACGATCCAGAAAAACCAATTCGGCCACATCCATATTAGAAATCTATAAATGAATTGTAATTCTTTTTAGAAAATGTTCATTAAAACAAATATTGATTGAATTCAGTAGAAAATGTAAATCTTTATTCTTAAACGTTGTTAAAAATATCTATTGGCAAGTTGAGGTGGGTGAGAATCTGTTCAATTTCCTGTTTTGGTTGAATGTCTTCTTGTAACATTTGAAGGGCATCGTTGCCACCATTGCACCACAATTCAATGAGGCCTTCTAGTTCCTTTTCTTCGCCTTTGTACTTGTCGTACGCCGCCAGTTGTTTTTTCATTTGTGAAATCTCTGCTTTCACATCTTGGACCTGAAGGGGGGATCATAATGGAAAAGTATTAATTTAGGAAATTAATTATCAAATAATGGAAATAAAATATTTTAATGAAAAAGGTAGTTTAAAAAAAGTAAGGAGACCACATAAAACCCAAATGAAAGTAAGTAGCAACTTGAACTTGTTACTTTTTTATAATGATGTGCCAATTTGATTCTTTCCGTTAATCAGGCCTTACTTTCTTTTCAAACATATTTCGATGATAAATAATATATTAGAATTACATTTTTTGGAAAAATGTCTTGATCAACATTGCCCAGTTCCGAAATTGTAATGCATTCGTCCGATGATAGTTTTGTACGTTTCGTTGGTGTTGCCAAACAATCTTCAGCTGTTTGTTTTGAACGCGGAATATTTGTTGGGGTCATTTTCAAATTGACATCGGAACGATTTGGTGTCACATTTTTAAATGTTGAAACATTTCGACTCAGTCCAAGTCGACGCGGTGTTATTGGTTTTTTTTCATTGGTTTTATCCATTATTTTGGGCCAAAATTGTTGGCAAACAAAACAATTTTTATAAAAACTCTATTACACCAAAAGTAAGGATTCTATTATGTTGTACATAAAGTGAGGTTATAACAGACACAATTGACAGGAACAATTGACAGTTCATTTGTTATTTTCAGTAATGTTTATTGTCCATGCATGAATACAACATAGGCTTAGTGTGTTTGTAAACAAATTAGTAAATAAAATAAATTTATGGAATTTTCGTTGGTCACTACAATAAAATGATGAACGATGAGAGTGGATCAAGTTTGAATACAGAAGATGTAAGCGAATCGAATATATTGTTCGATGAATCCGTGCTGCAGTTGATGGACGATCCATTTCAGTCAAAAGTAGATTCATCGAAACTACGTACCGATCAAAACTACAATGGATTCGATTCAACAATGGGAAATACATGGATCTATCCAACAAACTATCCACTTCGACAGTATCAATACAACATCTCCCGCGCGTCACTTTTTAAAAATACGCTAGTAAGTCAATGTTTTTTTTAGCATCATTAAAAATCAAAATCAATTAATCTGATTTTAAAATTTACAGGTTATTTTACCTACCGGGCTTGGCAAGACTTTTATCGCATCAGTTGGTACGTATATATATCCATGTGTTTCAATGTGTTTTTGTTTTATTTTCGAGTGATTATAATCATGTATGCATTATTAATATTTATTTTTTTTTTTAAATAGTTATGTACAATATTTACCGATGGTATCCGAGGGGAAAGATAATTTTCATGGCACCAACTAGACCTCTAGTGGCCCAACAAATTCATGCGTGCTATCAAGTTATGGGCTTTCCAAAAGATGAAACGATTGAATTGACTGGACGACAAAGCAAAAAGCTTCGAGCCACTGCTTGGCATAGTAAACGGGTGTTCTATTGTACTCCGCAAGTTGTGTGGTCTGATTTGAATGATGCTGAAATTAATTTTCCAATCAACGACATCAAACTTATTGTAGTTGACGAAGCTCACAAGGCAAGAGGGAAATATGCCTACACAGAGGTGGTGCAATCAATATGGTCACGCAATAAATTATTCAGGGTAATTATTTAATGTTGCAATTTCATTTTCATTACATATTTCCATTATTTCCATGACTTATTGATTAATATCCATGATATCCTTTCTTTTCTATTTGGTTAGGTATTGGCATTATCAGCCACACCTGGACGATCCTTGCAAGATGTGTCTGAGGTCATTCAAAATCTTTTAATTTCAAATATTGAAGTCCGGCGCGAAACATCAATTGACGTAGCTCCTTTTACATTCAAAAAGAGTATAAAAACGATTGTTGTACCGCTAGACGATCGACTCAAGAAAATTCGGCTTGGTTTGTATAATTTGGTTGAACCATATGTTTCGAATTTAATTCAGCAACAAGTGATTGGTGGTCATCTTGAAAATTTAACGAAAGCCTGGTTGCTTTTTGACCGGAATAAATTTCGTGAAAGTACATTGATGAATCGACATCCAGAACAATCAAATATCAGTAGTGACTTCAGTGTGTGCATTAGCATTTATCATACAATTGAATTGCTTGAGCGGCACGGTCTTCGAGTTTTCTTAAACTACTTTAATGACGAAAATTCTGATATTAATGCTGAGGAAAAATCAAATTTTATCATGAGAGATCACAATATCAAGCGATTCATTTATGAGATTCGATCAGAGTCAGGCATAGCTCCAATAAACAATCTTGATATCTCATTTCAAGCAAATGCCCCAAGTTTTGACTTGGAAACAACGATCGACTATGGACATCCAAAATTTGAAATTTTACAAAATTGTTTGTTGGACCATTTTAAGGTAACTAAGCCAATCCATATCAATATTTAGCATTTTTACAATAAAAGGATTTTAATCATTTAAACATCTATAGGAGAGTTCCGACACAAAAGCCATTGTATTTTGTGAATATCGTGAATCAGTGTTCCTTATCAATCACATGCTTATAAGAAATGGACCCTTAATAAAACCAAAAGTTTTTGTTGGTAAGTATATTTAACTTAAATTTACTTTGATTTATTTACTAAATTAATATCGATCGAAAAGGTCAAGGGTCATCGCACAATAGAACCATCACACAGAAAGAGCAAATCGCCATCATGAATGATTTTCGGATGGGAAAATGTAATACATTGATCGCTACATGTGTTGCTGAAGAGGGTAATTAAATTAGAAATAAGGACAATTTGCAAAGGAACTGAAGTCGCTGTAGCAAACAGATTGCTTACAAATCGAGATTTGGTAGAGATGACAATCATTGTTATACTTAGAGACCATATCATGGTGCCGGTTCATAGCTGAGCAGACTGACAATTTCAGGGGTAAATACGGGACGGGTTGTAATTTCCTCATAAATTCCTAACAAATTAGGTCCAAAAACCCTAGCAAAATGATAAAAAATCACTCTCCCTGTCTGCTCAGCTATTGTCACTAACAAATCTTAATTTTAAGCAATCTTATTTGCGAAAGAAAATTTTGTTCGCCTGAGATGACTAATTTCCAATGCCTCCTTTAGGTATTGATGTTGGTGAAGTAGACTTTATCATTTGTTTTGATGTAAATAATAAAAATCCAATCCGATTTATCCAACGGATTGGTCGAACTGGACGAAAGCGACAAGGAAAAGTAAGTTTAATTACAATCATTGTGTAATATGTTGCCAATAATGCTGATTTCTTTATAAAAGGTAGCAATGCTCGTAACAGAGGGAAAAGAACAAAACATTTTGAGAGATATACTTGCCACCAAAGATGGAATTAATCAAAAAATTGGAAAAAGTAATGAAATCAAAAGTGTGCTATATAAAAATTGTCCGCGTTTGATTCCACCTGAGTTCAATCCTCGATGCATCGAAACATTCATTGACATAAAAAATACACAAGAATCACCACTGCCTTTACGAAAAAAGGAATCAAAGTCAAAGAACAACACAAAAAAACCGAAAAATGTTAGTTGATATAATATTTTTTAGTTGGTTTGGTAATAATTCAAATAAATGTTTTTTTCTTCTACAGAATGCCATCCCAGAAAAAACCGGCACCTTGAAAGCATTTTTCAAGCCAATTGAAATCGATGACGAATTGGAGGAAAATTTTGATTTGTCATCTTACCGCAGTGATAATAATGATAATAGTACAGAAAATAAGAACAGCTCGCTTAAACATATGGAGAAAATTAATGATAAGAATAATTCATGTGAAGATGAAAGTGATGTACAAAATAGAATTAACGACGACGATGTGCCTTTAGATGTTAAATTGCAAAAAGTGTATAGCGCCTATATTACGATTAAAAAAAGTCGTGCCAAATGGAATGGTTTTGGTGAGAAATTGTCAAGAAAACCCATAAATAATGAACATTTGCCAGATGCCATTGCCGATTTCATGAGTAAATATACAAAGGAATCAGATGAGCATCGAGTTTACAGAACAAATGCAGATCTTTTTCATAAAAATTCGGATGACGCAAAACAGAAATTGTTCGAGCTGATGTCGATGCTTGAGAAACATCGACATTTAGAAAGAAATAAATCGCAACCATCAGAACATGAACTTGATAATCAAACAGAAGTCGGAGATAGTGAATTCCAAACAAATATTATGAATGATTCCCAAATGTCATTCTGTGTCAATACGCAACATCAATCAAAATACGCATCTCAGTTAAAACCACATCGAATCATGTTAGCAGATCAGCAAATAGCATCCAGTACCCCAAATAAGATGTCCAGCATTAAACAAATGAATATGGTTCCATTGCATTCACCAATTGTGGCAAATGAAATAATTCCAAGCAGTCGACGTAATGAAAATGGAGAAAAATGGTATCTAAAATTCTTGGGACTTGATACAGCCTACGACTTGTTTTCGGACGACTGCGATGAAAATACGAGAGATACAAAAAATACGTCTGACGAACAGAAGGAAATATGTGATAATCTTAATAAGTCAGTTTGTGGCAACCACAGTTTCATCGATGAAAAAGAGGAGAGTCAATATACGGTATCAAGAATTCTAAAAATCTGTGAAGATGCTGAAAAAGCAAGAGGTGATAAATGTGATAAATCTTCTATTTTGGAATCGACACTGAAACGAAGGCGACTATTTATCGGAAGTGTTGATGATCTTTTTTGTGAAGATTTTGATGATGATATTGTCATAAACACACAAGCTGTTGACGTATCACTTTCCCCAGCGGATGACATGCTAAACTATGATGTTGGAGATGCAATTGCAGAACAGAAAAATTCACAAGCTTCAACAAGTTTGTTCAAAGACACCATCGAAGTAGCATCGTCCAATAAATCGCAAAATATTCCGATTAAATCGCTTACTGCTGTTAAGTCTGACGAACTTTTTTCTTCCTACAATGAATCAACGACAAATATCACCAAACACATTCCTAATCAAGTTGACCACGTATCAAGTCAAAATATACAGACAACACCACAAAAAAGTAATAGTACGAATATATTCTCATATCACTGTCGATCGCCGTCGGTTTTAATAAAGTCATCAAGCGTTTTATCCCAATTGGGGAACAATCAAAATAATTTTCACCCGACATCAAGTGATCAACACAGTAAATCCTCAATGTTTGGCTCTGGCATACTGAAATCGGATGTAAATTTGAATAGTCGTCTAGAAGATCTCGATGAAATTAAAGAAAATATCACATCACCATTTAGCACGTGTCATACATCAGCACTACGCCAAAACACAAACCGACAATTAGAATTTCAAATTGATTCAGACTGTGATACAGAATTTTCCGGAGACGAGATATTCGCTACGTGCCAACCAATATCGGTATGATTAATTGAGATATTTTGTTTTTGTACAGATAAAATGATGAGCTAAAATTAACATTTTTATTGTATATTCAAAAGCAACGAAAGAAAACATCGAATAAGGTAAAACAGAAGCGTAAATTGAAAAACAAATTCAATTTCATCGATGACGAAGTGGCTGTGTCAGGTGACGAGTCTAGCGATGAAAACTTCATTGAAACTCAATCACAGCTTAGCATAACTGATTATGAAGAAGACGATCCATCGGTCGATATGCAAGCAAAATACTTACAATCAATCAGGTGAGTCCTTTGTTGAAAGAATTTTTATTCAATAATAAATATAATCTTTATATACTTCAAAATATAGGAGTCCTATGGCTGGTCGTCGCTATCACATTCCCAGAGTTGTACCAAAAGTAACTCAAAGTATATTTTCACAGTTTGTTGCTCCAGATCAATCTAGATATGAAGAGGTATACATTTTTTTCGATTTTTGTCAATAAAAAAAAATTCTTCAAAATGTTATGTTTTATTTTGGGCATTCAATAGGATTCATTTGTTGTGGGTAGTGATGAAGATACTGATGATAGTCATAGTGATGAAACAACAACGGTACCATCGAGAACGAAGAAACGAAAGTCTGATGAAATTGTATATCCAAAGTTGAAACGGCGGCGTCGAATTATTGAAATGAGCTCGGATAGTGAATAAAATGTACTCATTTAATATGTAAACATGTGATCAAGGCATATTTATTAAAAAGAAGAGATTAATTTTTTACTCACCCAGTTTTTTTTTTTATGCTTACAAAGTAGTTACGGTAATGGAAGTAGTTCTGGTTTGGAACCATATTCATACGTCCTCAAGGTAAGAATGTAAGGGGGATAATTGAAAAAAATCGACAGGGGTAAGCAAAAAAGTGAAGTGTATTTTGTGAAAAGTGTATTTTTTCGTTTTTTTCATGCTCTCATGTTTTTTTGGTGAAAATCCCTAGTAAATCGAAGGAATTCTTCCCCATGAAAAATTTGTTGAGCAAAAAAAAAGTCTTCACTTTTTCAATCAAAAACCCAAATTAAAAGAGTTCTTTGAAAATTTTAATGTTTTGAAGGGTAACACTTCGTCAAGAGGGGTGAGAGGTAATAATTTATTAAGTCATGATAAAAAAAAAATCAGTTGGCAAAGTCAAAAAAGTATATTTTCGCTTTTATTTTGTTTTTTATTGAAGTTGCTTTTTTTACTTATATTATTCAGTTAACTTAACATCTAGTAATTGCAGTTTACAGACTTTACTTTTATTTCTTGTAAAGCTTTCAATATTTTCTGATCAGAAGAAATATTATCAAGAAGAACATTATCCGTTTTTTCTTCATCATTTCAAAAAAATAATTGCTTTCAATAATTTCACTTAAAGTTAATTATTTTCAACTCCGTGTTTTTGTTTTGGAGACGAATTGTTTTTCGGAGAAACAATAAGAAAAAACTCTTTTTTTTATCTCTTGGAGCATATTATTTTCATTTTAATAGGTTTAAAACGTCACCAAATAAGTGATGATTGTTCTATTTTATACAACCGTACGAAACTGTTGATAAGAAATAGGCCATTGTATGGTCCATGGAATATTTTTTTTTCTATTTGGAAGTTCACTTTTGTTCCAACATCGCAAAATCCTATCTCTTATCGTATTCAAAACAAAAAAAATTGGAAAAGGAAATTTATTAGGAAATTATGTATCCGATTTTCTTTATTATGGAAATGTTCAAATGAACGTTATATGCGGAGTAAGTTTCTTTGAATTTACATTCAGTTTCATATTATGTGGCCAAAAAAATGTGACATTTTTTTTTATCTTTAAAATGACAATGATATCTGATACTCAGTCAAGTCTCTATCAACATAAAAAGTTAGACAATTTGTTTTAAACATTTTTTATTAGTATCTCCATAGACATTAGACTAGACTTTATACTTTATTTTTGGTAAGAACATGGCACAACTCTCTTTTTTTTTGTTAATATGTTACTTATTATGTTTATGCTTCGCTATGGTCACTTGGCTTTTGTACTTTATTTCAACCAACACTGATATTATTGTATAACGAGTTATTGATTTGTTAGTTGATGGACATTTTAACTAGACACATATGGGTGATAATTTCTTTTTTTTGGGGTAGACACTATATGTATTTTTCAAATTCAGCATATAACGAGATACGATTCCCAGTAAGTAGAGTCTACCCTATAGACGAATTTCACATGTAGTTTGGTGGATTATGTAAAAAAATACATTTTATTTACCACTTTAAAGAATTTAACTGAAAATAATATCTAAAAACTTGAAAATGGTTCAACAGAATTTCTCTCATTTCATTGAATTACTAGGAGGGATTCACGAAAGATTTGGAAAATTAACCACCCGGCAAATATTTTTCAAGGGTCTTTATAGTAGGGAGCACCATAGGCTTTGCCATACAATATTTTGCTTATAAACACAGAATGTTCCTTAGAACAATATATGTGAGGAAGAGCGGTCTGAAGGGCCAGAGGAAGCGAGCTCCGCCTTAAAGCGCTCCTTCTCACATCTATTGCTCTGAGAAACAGTCTCTGCTTATAAAGGATCTATATAAACCCCTTAAAAAGGAATATTGTCCTTATAAAAGGTGTTAAAAAGTGGAAGTTTCATTTTAGTTATACAAACATTGAAAACTATTTAAATTAAATTTTGTAGAGAAAATTCTTTTCGTTTCTTTTCATCCTCTTCTTCATTTTCTCATCACTATTAAGAGAACGTGAAAGACGTAAAATGGAGCGATGTATAATTAAAATATTCATAACAAAAATTAATTGCAAATCATTTTTGCACGCAAACTTCACACGCAATGAAAGTTTTTGGATGAAATCATAAGTTATAATTGGAATGTATGAATTTTTTTGAGCATTATTTAAGGCAATAATTAAGGTATGAATTTCGAATATTTATTAAAGTTTGATATTATTTTCATTTTTTTTTTTGTTTATATGCATGAAATAAAATAAAATTATAATGGGTTTATATAATTTTGAACGAAGTAAATCACAGTCAAAAACACTGACAGTTTGAGAGAAAAGACATATGATAGACAGCACCAGCAACATCGAATTACGTAATTCTACGCAGACAAGATTGCATATTTTAACGAGAAGTAAAAATAATTTTAAAAAAAAGAAACAAAAATGAATGAAAACTATTGTCTGTTTGTTTGTTATATAAATGACAATAAATGGTTTGTTTCGTTTCCATACACATCGGTATTATTCAAAGCTTTTTTGTTTTGATTGAAAATGTGAAAAAAAGAATATTGTATTTGCTTCAGATTCTAGTGTAAAATACACCAAAATTCATCAGCAATTTCGAAATTTGAAGCAAATAGTGGAATTAATATTAATAATAGAAATATAGTATTATTTTCATTAAACATTCAAAATGGGTGGAATTTGCTTCAGCGAACAACGTAACATACACTGAAATCGGTCAGGTGTATTTTGCGTTATTCGGCGAAGAAAATTGTTTCAATTCAATTTTATAAAAAATTGTTTACATCAATAAGTAATGTAGTAAAAAATGGAAATAAATCATTTTTGATATTGAATTTTTGTGAATACTTTTTTATGCATGTACTGTCAATCGATCATAAGGGACAGTTTCCTTTTAAGTTTTTTTTTTTTCTTGATTTTTGCTGAGGTAATATACCACATAAGATTTACATTTAAACACTACAGTCAGAAACTCTTTTTTCGTGAGCAGTATAAAGATCATCATGGAACAAAATTCCGTTAGATGAAATCATGAAATCGAAAAATTTGAATTTTCAACCAATTGGATAATTCTTTAAATAGCCATTTTAATCACTAAACTGAAAGGAAAATAATGTTAACCACATAAACATTTCAAAACTTGAAATTTGAAAGATGTATTACTGCAGATTTTTTTCAAATACCAGTAAGCTGCAGCAATAATCCTCAACAAGAAATAAGTTTTAGTCAGTTAAATTTATTGCAAGGGTAATTTATGCAAATACATACAATTTTGTTTTGGAATCGATAAATGTTCAACAGATTAATTCCAAAGGAAATTATTTAATCATAATTGTAAACAAGCTGCCACAGTTCGTATGAGTTTATCATAAAGTGTTTATTGCAGTTTGATAATTATCCAACGTAGTCCATGGTAGACTTCAAGTTCAATTTAAGCAATTCAGTATTGGGCAATATTTGTCAATTAAATTAGATTTGAAAGATAAATTAAGAAGTTTTATCCATTAGCAAAGAATCAAAACCAATAACTGGAACTATTAATAATTTCGATAACAACTCTATAGTAGATGGCATTGAGCTTTGCTCTTATCCAAAGAGTTCATTCCAACTACCGCAAGATATTGTGTTTTACAGTGCATAGTCAAACATAGCTGCACCGTTGATGCATCGTTTACGGGTAATAATTGTATAATGGGGTCAGTTTTATAACTTTGGCAACAATACAACTGTGTGAAGATATTGTGTTCTATGATTGTCAATTGATCATCAAATTTTGATGTGTTTATACTCTTTACAATTTAAAATGAGAAATGAATGCTCTAGAATAAAAAGAACATATTGTTTGCTCGCATATCGGAACGCGACTCATAACGGTTACACATCAAAGCGAAATCACATTTGGTTGACGAATACAAAATATTGGATACTTGTATTCTAGGGGCTCGGAAGTATTTTTTATTGATGAAAAAACACACATAATCAGAATTATTGATATATTTTGAGTTTAAACAATAATAATCACCATATTCACGAATATTGGTACATTTTGAGTGTGAACAATACTGTGAATAATCATGAATATTCCCAATATTTTGATTATCGTAAATATGAAAATGGCGGCAAATGATGTATGTCATTTTGTGGAATGTTATTTATAAAATCACACAAGCTTAGAACACTTTTACCTATACATTTTTGATGTTCTTCAGTCAAATTATTTTTTATCAAAGAAATATAAGTTTTTTAGGCAGAAATCTCTTTTTATATAATAAAAACAACAACTATTAATTTTATTTTGTGTTGTGTGTGTTTTACATTGGTGCCATATACGAGCTGAATAATGACAAATAATTACGTAAATATGAGAAATATTCAAAATATTCTCAAAATTTTCCATTTATACACCACATTCATACAAAATTGTCAAAACTGTGTTTATTTTGATTTTTTTTTCATGTTCCGAGCCCCTAGCTTGTATTGCAATTGCTTAATGTTCTAACATCTTCTAGCAACAAAACATTTGTTTCGCTTCGATGTACGACGCAGCTTAACGGTGACATTTGATTGTATATGAGAATTTTTATCTTTTTATCCTGAAAGTTCTTTCAATTTATCGGAAAATAAAAAAAATATATGAAGAAATGGAGAAATCTCATTTCTTAACCCTCTAATGCATTAATTTTTTTTCGACATGAGAACTATTTTTCTATGATTATTTTGGTTTAAAATTCCTTAAAAAAATAATCGAAATTCAAAAAATTGCATAGTTTACTCAAAAAATGCTATTGACAAAATTAGAGAACAATCGAATCCATGTTTAAACTGCTATAAAATTGCTATAAACGAAGAGAGGAATAATTTTTTTTGTCAAATTTCTGTTTTCGCGTACATCTGTGTGTATAATTAAACAGCCGCTTTATTTTCACTTGTCAAATGACCGGCAAATGAAAGCCTGAACCCTGCTGAATATATTTTAATTCATAAATAGAATCATTTGTTTTTAATTATATATTTTAGACAATAATTTATACACCCTGCCTAAAGGCAGGGCTATGCACTAGAGGGTTAAGACGTTGACTGTAGTGTTTATAAACTATGCATAAATTTCAGAAAGTGAACAGAGCTGAATGGTAAAATGCCATTTTACCTTGGTCGAAAACAACTTCAGTGTAAAATAATATTTGAGCATTGACATTAATACATTCTATATTAGCCTTCGTGTTTACGTTTTTTCTCTTCAATATAACAATTTTTAGTTTACAATAAAAACATTTCGATCGTGGAAATCAAACTGAAACTTATATGCACTTAATTCAAAACCAACATATGTCTAATCCTTATAATTTGTTATTTATGTTGCTGGAAAGCATAAATAAATTGTACAAAATTTATTTAATCACAAATTATTGTATCTTTGACATTAATATGTCTCTTTCTTTTCAGACAACTCTCGACATGAAACATACGATTAAATTTCTTGCATTTGGTGCTAGTCCTTTATAACTAACAATAGCTTGGATTTTATTAGAAATACAATAAAATGTTTGAAACAAATTTAATGTACAATTGTCAATTATTGCACATTTTTGGCTATTGTTAGTTATGAAGGACTGGCGCGGATGTGAAGTTTTTTCACGTCGCCGACCTGAAAAATTCAAACCAATTATGAATTTCCGGTGTTATTTATTATTATTAGTATTCGTTAAAGTGTGTGTTTCCATCGATACAAAATAATAATTTAAAAACAAAATAATCGACAATTAAATTGGGATACACCCCATAAGAGTTCAATTAGTAGTTTGGTCTGCTGTCCAGTCTTTTTGTAAACGAAAATGAGCTATTGAATTCATTTACATTTTTCGTTTGTTTTTAATGGTTCTTCAATATCCTCGTTCATATTATGTTTTCATTGTTTTCTGATGAACGTAAAATTCGAGAAAAAAAATATAAAAAAGTAAACGCATAAAATAGTTTTCAACAACACATTTTTCAATTCAAGTCGTATGTAAAAAAAGATGTTGGAATGCTTTATTAAAAATATATCTTTACTTGAACCGAATTCTTTGAAGCAAAATTTATTTTTTTAAATGTGTTTTTCTTTTTATTTAGTTTGTGTGAGAACTTTATTTGTTTATTATCGAAATGTCTTAAATCTGAGATGATTTAATGTCAGAAAATTCAACTAACGTGACACCACAAAAATCTCACGTCTCTGCCGAACAACTGTTGTATTTCAAACACATAAAGTCAGTGTTTATCTGTGTATTAATAGAAACTGACTTTGGATTAGGACTTTAATTCAAAATAAATTTTACACAAATACTTTTCACATTTGTTTGAAATACAGCAGCTATATTTATTTCCCCTTAGTTAGTCGAGTCTCCTCATAATTTTTGTCTCCATAATGTTGCCTACCGACTTCCTCAAAGTTTCATAACAAGAGCAATAGTAAATAAACGGAAATAAACATCTCGAAAAGATCATAGTTTGTGCAACAAAAACAATCACAACAATTACTCAAAGATCATTAATGTCTTCGGCTTGCAGGCTGCTTTATTCATTACGACACTTCTATAACTTCGTCTATCGCGACTGATTCATACGCTTCTGAACAATCACAATATTGACTCTCTCCCAGCCTCATCTAATTGAGTGCGCACTCAAATTTTCTTGAACTTTTTTTTGTTCTTGATGCAAATAAAGGACATTTTTTCTTGAAGACTTACTAATCAGTGAACATTGACTTTTTCCACAAATCCAGCAGAAATAAAAATAATTGATTTTTTTTTTGGATGGGAAGTTATATTCCGGTCGATGTCAATACTCAAAAGCGCTTCACCCACTTCTATGTTAAGTTTGAGTGCGTTGCGGCAGTTCAATCACACCTCAAGTGTGAATTTGGCGACTGTGGCGAAAAACTGTATCAAATTAATCAATTTTGCGGAGGTAACACGCAAGTACGCAAATAGAAGGTTTTCACAGTGATGCCAAACAATGGAATACTATTCACGAAATATTAAGCCGCAATCCACACATGAAAAGCCAACAAACAATCGCCCACCGAAAATAAACACTTTTGCTCTTATACCGTTAATGTGATTTCCATTTGAAGAGCGAGTATGAGAGACATGTATAAAACAAAATTGGCGAATGAGCTAAATTGTGTGGCCATATTCCAAAATCCAACCGGATTTATCCGGAAAATCACCGAAAACAATACAGAGATCATCCAGCGGATCTATGGAATTTGTCGCTCAACGTCGATAAAATCAATCAAATGGGCAAACAATCAAATCGTGCCCAATAGTGTTTCCGTAAGTACTGGTACACCAAAACCAAAGCAAACATGCAACGAAAATGTACATTGTACAGCAAGAAATATGTTATTGGCATCGATCCGAATGAAATGAACGTGATTGTCTGCAACGCGTCGCTGCTGATGAAGCGGATGTTGAGGTGAGATATTTTGAAATGTAATTTGAAATGTGTTTGAATCGAAAGTATTTTTATCATTTTGAATTTCGGAGGAAAATAACAAACATGCGATACCAACTGGGAAAGTCAGCAGAAAAGAGGAGGTAGAGAGACGGAAGGCTGGGAGAAGGACTCCTGACATTGGCGATCCAAGGGGGCGAAGGGGGTTAATTTCTAAATTCTCCTAAAATGTAAAGGGGATTTGGTTTCTCAAAAATAAATTGAAGAGTTAAAAAGGAAGCAAATCGGAAAATAGTAACACAAATAATCAGACGTGCTAACGGGGGCTTAGTTTCGGGGGAGTTTTGTGCCCGAATTTCTCTCGATGATAAGGTAATGTCATGTATTCAAACAGACTTTCCCTTAAATTCTCCATATAGTTTATATTATTTCTGTAGGGCATCACCATCGTCACAATTTATTTCTTTCGCCCTTCGGATGTAAGACTCTTTTTATTTGATCTCGTAATTTGAATTAATCCCTTCTTCGGAACTATTAAAAAAATCTGTACTTTTTTCTGAATTATATTCAAATGTTCTAGATTTTCGAAAAAAAAAATTAAATGTAACATTTTTTTCGTAATATGGGCACAATTTTCAAACTTTCACGTTTCCCAAATCTCATCAATAAAATTAAGAGTTTCGGCTAATTGTTCATGATTGGCTCCAGAATTTAGCATATCGTTGAAAATATTCTTCAGCATTAGTTGATTTGCCATGAAATTGACGTTCTTGTAACTATTGTACATACTTATTCACTTATTTATGACTAAAAATATTTGCGTCTTAATTTGTAAGCACCATTTATTTTAAATTTATGGCGCTCATACTTCACGTATATATGTACTCTGTACTGTAAATTCTGTTATTGTTACCATTATTGTAGTTTGAGTTTCTGTATTAAAGATCTTTCATATACATATAAAACATATTTTGTGTTTGTAAAAAATAAAATTTTTAATTTAGTTTTGTTTATATCTAAAATTCGCAATATTCATTGAGTCTAGTTAATTAGCATTGTTGTTTAACTTTGACTTTGGCACATACACACAAAGTGATGATAATGAAGATAATGTTGGTCATTTCAAATAAATGTCCACTGATTTGACTGGCCACCATCTTCGCCTCACTAAGAGATAGACTTTCATATATATATTTTTTACCACAATCACACTATATCATACGTAGAGATAGTGAATGTTGTTGACACACAGGAAAAATGCAAGAAATTTAATTGACGAATGGGCGAGAAAGAATGTTTTACGTACATTTCTTTGGGTGGGTACTCAAAATTTGAAGTGTATTAATGATTTCCGGTTTTACTTTGATATTCTGGTTGTTGATTTTCGCTGCTGTTTGAATTATGATTATTTGAGATTTTAACAATCGTTGATTTCATTGATGCTGTTGCTACGACCCATTGTTACCATTTCTGTACGTATAAATTGTATTTTTAATAAAATAGAAAAGAAATTGAAAAATATCCGTTAGAATTAATAGAATATCGGATTATTTTTTGTGTAGTTTTAACTTGTGTTTCGAAATAAATAGTTTTAACTCTACTCCAGACAGTATAAGTCTAAATGGCCCATGAACTCAGATTTTTTTTTATTGTATTCATAGCTTCTGATGGTCGCGTTCAAAGGGGGTTAATTTCAAAAAAAATTCAAAATGTAAATGGGTAATTTCAGCTTCATCATCTTCAGCTGTTTTCGTTTTTTTTCTTCACTTTTTTGACAAAAATTCCTAGCAAATTGAAAGTTTTTTTAACGATTCCATCTCATTTCTATCCAACTACCTCTTTTCGTTTTTTCTTTTGCTCTTCACTTTTTGGAATAAAATCCCTAACAAACCGGAAGATTTTTTCCCATTTGAAAAACTTGTTGAGCAAAAAAAGGTCTTCACTGTTTTCGCAAAAAACCTTAGCAAATCGAAAGAATATTTCGATTATTTTAATTTGTAAAGGGGTAATTTCCAGAAGGGGAAATAGACCCCTGGGACCCCCGGTCAGAAGCTATGATTGTATTGAGCAAAAATGAAAAGCAAGTCCAGTTATTATGACATTATCTATAAGATATCTCTATTGAACTGCATTTATACGCGAAAGTGAGATGAAATGAGCTGTGAGCGAATCTTGTGGAGTAGTTGGATCCGATCTGGTTAAAGCGGGTTAAAGTGTTTTCGAGATATTTTGAGTGTGTCGGTTTAACCCTTCTTCCCCTATTTGTTTATAATTTCCATAGATTTTGTACGCTGAGTTCATTGGACGCCTGCCATTTATTATTGTTCTTAGAGTGATATTGTCTGCAGGTGGGTTTATGAATACATATTTGACGCTTGAATCAATTTTGGCATTTTTTTTAGTAAAAATTTAGTTATTTTTGAAAATGCAGGCAAGTTAACAACTGTTTTTGTTCACAAATTCACTCCCCAAGACTCTTAAAAACCTCATTAAAGGTAACATTACTCTCAATCTGGTCTTCATCCAGATTTCGAAATAAATAGCACGTGAATATATTCATGATATACTGCTCAAATACTATTGCAGTCTCTCTTCTAATATTTATGAATATGAATCATAAAAAAATGTTCTAAGCATCAACGGTCTAACGTCATCAGATATCGGAAAATATGACTTCACCAAAATTGTAGGTTGGTCTGGCATTTTAATAATGATTTTTCGAAAGAATATCTCAAAAGCTCATTATTTTATATAACTCGAATTATAAAATTGTAGAATATGAACTCGAATTATGTCAATTTTTGCTTGGAAACTCATGAGAATGAATAGAAATGTGGTAGTTTTTAAATTGTAACACAAGGGTTCTCATTGACATACTCCATATTCAATGTTCAATTTGTTTGGTTTCCAAACTAAAGATTCAGGCTGCCAAATTCACAACTCTAGCCTAACTCTCTAGTAAACAATATTATTGTTATTGTATGACAAGTGACAGTGTAAATATTCTGTTGCCGAGCACGGTTCTATATAAAGCAAGTCGACTCTTCACTGCAACAGTATGGTTTTGCCAATAGTGTGTACTGCCGTCGGGAGTGAATTTATTGTATAAAATACGTGGAAAAGTTTTTTTTCACTTGTATTATGTTTAAATTTGTAATTAGTTTCTAATTCAAAAAACAACAACCAATTGTCTCTACCTGTTGTGTTACGACGAGTAATAAAAAACACAGTTAACGAAAATCATATCAAATTATAACTTCTTTTCTTAATTTTGATGCTTTTTTGCAATCAATATGAAAATCATTGATATTTGCATAAGATTGAATCAGATTTTTTGAACGAAAAAATTTATTTAGTGATTCTATTCTATTTCGTCATTGCATCTGAATATATATATGATTTGGGCAATTATTTCCATATAGAGTTAACTCTAGTGTGAAATTTTGCACGTTTTATATTAAATATTCAATTGAATAAATGAATTGATTCGTTGCAAATATAAATTGCCACAATTTAAAGCATCATGGAAAACTGAAACACTTTATACTGTGTATACATAAGTATTATAAATACCTTCTATATCTGATGTACTAGCTCGACCTGTTGCCTCGGCCACTGTGGTTGTTGTGGCAAAGGTGCACCGTTTTTGTCGTTTTAAAGCTGGCTTTCGAGTGTGAAAATATTGCTGATGGGCTAAACGATGACAATGATGTCGGTTATTAATTGTTTGTATACTGCGCGTTCCATCCATACTATCACAAGAGCTGCAGCTGTTCAGATACCGTCATGATCGATTTCCATATTGATTCATGGATGAGTAGCTTGCTGCCGATGCAGCGACCATAGCAGCCACATGACACTGTACGTATAAATGATATAGATATTGAATGTTACGTTTTTATTTGAGAGCTAGTTTTAGATCTATATTAAGTTCTTTAAGGTTTACTCGCAACAAGTTTAATACTCTCAAAATTTTTGAAATTAAAAACAAAAAATAATAAATCAAATTTACAATTGAAAAAATTAAATAAAAAATAAATGTTGAGTGGAAAATGTCAATACGTCACTTTTCGAACCAGGAAATACAATCAGCTGAATCTAAAGGCGATGGATTTATCAGATAAATCGAATGCGTTGAGTTTTTCACGGGTTAATTGAAATGTGAAAGGACATATGGCAAGCTCAACTGTCATAGTAAATTACTGCTATTAAAAACAGTAAACTACTGAAAGTTTGTTTCTTTGCTAAGTTCTGTATAACTTAGCAAAGACAAAAATACATTCTTTTAATTCAATGACATTGGTAAAGGAGGCGCTCTGCCCAGGTATCTGGAAATGAATGTTGTATATAAACACATGTAAATGACACTTTTGTGCTGGCCGTATGTGGGAGGAACTGTTGAATTTGGTGGGAATAAAGAGCAGGATATAGCGACAGATCAATTTATTTGCGATGATAGAATTATTAGAATAATTTATCACATAAATCGAATATGTGTCTCTTTGTGTATTTGCACTACAAATTTCATTTTATCGTCGATGCACTGAAATCACAGCAAGAGACATACACTTTATGCGAGTTTTCAATGCGTTCGATTTATCTGATAAATTATTCTGATAATTCAATGATAGCTGATAAATTTGTATGTCGATATGCAATGATTTCATATGTAATACCATTTTCTTATGCAGCATACATTTAAACGACAAATGTACATACACGAGATTTACCTAAAATTTAAATTGACACCTTTTGAAATGCGAGAAAAAACCTTAAAACATTTAATTTAATTCGCATCGGACAGTTTTTTTTGTTTGAGCTATTTTTCATTGCTTTGTTAGTAATACTTAATCGCCACCTGCCGTTAAAAATGGTGAAAAAATATACTTTTTCTGTTTATATGACTTTGGAGCATAATTAGATGATTTATTTAAATTCTCAAAGATTTAGTATAATGTCAAACTGTATGTTAAGTCAGTAGAATGTTATTTTACACTGAACAATCACTTTTCCGCACATACCTAGTATCATACTAGTAGTATGTAGAGGGTCCCCCATACAAGAATGTATTACAATAGGTTAACGCTTTAAGTCACAAAAAGATGTTGAAGCAATGTTTTTGTGGGTCTGTCACTGATTATTTCTTCCCATAGAAACATTATTTAAACTTTGACTTCACTGTCGATGATTTGAGGCTTGCGAACGGCTTGTGAGAAATAGAAATGTTTGAGACATTTTCTAATAAAAATCAACACAATATTATGACAGCCAGCAATTATAGAATATTAGAATTATAGCCTTATCTGAGGCCCTATAAGTTAAAGAGAAAAAAGCTCATGTAATTTAAGTATTTAACGTAGTCAGTACCGACTTTTTTCTCTGTGTGTATATGTATTTAATTCGGTCAAAATGAAATTGAAAGTTGTAATCCGTTCTTTGTGGAGAAACTTCCCAAATTGTTACACATTTAGAGCAATTTTAACTGCCAGATTTGCTACTTCGCTAGGCTTTGAACAAATTTGTAATCTTTTTAGTACATTCTAACGTTGAAAAATATAACGTTTTGGCCCATTCTGATGGTCATTTTCGTGTCAAATGGAACGGAGATTATATGCATACCATGCATTGCATAGTTTTCACGAATTCCAATGGAATAGATCCATTTGTTTCTTTCACTTCCGATAATATTTCGTTTGACAACATAATGTGAACACAAACCAACACATTAAGTTTTGAATTGAAAATCTAAATCTAAATCTTACGCTCAAATAAAAAAATAAACAATTTATTAGGAAAGAGATTTGCATTATTTAATTTAAAACTCTGCAGAAGAACTCTTTTATACGTCATTTATTGCATTTAATTTGCTTTATTTGTGGAATTATTATTTTGAATTTTCGAAATGCAACTGACATTGTCAAACCAAATCCAACGATATTCATTTATATGTATTAAAAATGTGCTTGTACCGTGTGACAGTATTGTTAGTATAAACAACTATCGCACCAACCGAAGAGTAGAAGAGATCAACATTTTATTGGATGATCTGGTCGCAATTGGATGGCAACGCCAACAATGCATGAAATTTTTTGTAGAGGATCATTGGTTTGAATCGTTGTGGTTGTTCGAAAAAATGCAACGTCAAATAGCAGCTTATCACAGAATGCCGCACAATGGAATACCATTCATGAAATATTTCGTGACAATCCGAACTTTCAACAGCCAACAAACAATCGTCCACGGAAAATAAACAGTTTTGCTCTTGTACCGTTATGCGATTATCATTTGAAGAGCGTGCGATTGGATATGAGAGATTTCTACAAAAAATTGGCAAGCAAGCTAAAAGTGGTGCCCAGATTCCTGAATACTGATACCAATACCAACCGGCTAAATAAATAACCCGAAATACTACAGAATGAAAATGAAAAATGTTGGCTATAACGCGTCGCAACATCCGGAAAACACCTGATGAACCGGCCGTTGAGGTGAGATATTTTGAAATCTATCTTGAAATGTGTTTGAATCGAAACTATTTGTTTTTGAATTTTGAAGGAAAACATTACAATACCAAACACGCGATTCTGTTGGAAAACTCGGCAGAAATGAAGATAAAAAGAGGCGAAAAAAATGGCTGGATGGTTTGATATCGAAGGAAAGAATCATCTGAAGACATACCCATTCGGTCCACCATCACCGCGTAATTAAACATGGCAATGGTAAATTGAGTATCGCATCAAAGTTCTACGAAAAGGAATGTCAGCATATGCTACGCGCAAATATTCACGACTGGATTTTGATCGTTACATGAAGTCGAACCAAGTAAATGATAACATCGCCGTGACAGTGACCAACAACATGCCGTCAATGATTATCTTTGGTGCATCATCGGAGATGCCACCCAATCGGCCATTTGGTTTGAAGAGACGGAAAAGACGTCCAGGATCGCGAAAATTTTTGGTGAGCGTCAAGAAACTTGGCCATTCAGTGGTGAAAATGGAAGATGAATGGGGAACATCACAAACATGCGCGAATGGCCAAGAACGATTTCCAACGATCACAAAACCGCATCGATTCAAAGTGTGCTACGGTTGCAAAGCGAAACCGATTGCTGGACTACCGGACTCAGTCACTAGTCTACCAGATATAATTGTGGCAACGGTTAGCAAAAGGGACGGAAGGAAATTAAGCGTCGGATTCGCAATGGCATTTTTCAGAATGTGGAGGAAATACTTCGGAATGAGCGTTTAATGTCAAAGGTTAAAGTTACCTACAAAAATTGGCCATTAAATGCACAGCAATAACACGTATTTTTACTGTCAAAATTTTGATGTCAAATGGTGTCGACATTGGTGACGGTATTTTGAAACAGACTTTGTAATCCATATTCATCGTATATGATACTATGTAAAGTTCTATACTTGATCTAGTTCACATTGACGGTTCAAATCGTTTATTTCCACTAGCGTGGACTTGGACTGTGTGTTTCTTCTGTTACATGTACGTTATAATGGACAAGTATAGTAACATGGCGTCGTTCAAATAAATTTAAAAATCCGTCACTCGTGTCGACACCATCTAGCACGGTAGTAGGGATTTCATTACTGTGATTAAATTCAGGGTGATGTTGCTGCTCCACAGACAGTTGTTTGGCACCGCGATATTGTTGCTGCAAAATGCATTATGCTCAAAGGTATGAATCAATTGATTCATTTTTTAATGTTTTTGCTTCAAATTACACAGGACTTTGTCGGATATTTGGCGTACTATTGCTTGATTCGTTGAGAAGACCACAAAAAAATGTAAACTGACAAGCAGCAGCATTGAATCCATAAATTATTAGATAAAACAAATATTATAACGATTAGTTAGCTTGGCTAGGCTTGGCACCATTTGTGTTACACAAATCTTGTGACCTTGTTGTGCGTTCATAAGAACAGTACAACGGTAGTACGGAGGGAAGGAGTCGTAGGTGAGTAAAGTTTTGAATTAAAAAAAATGATATTTCATATACAATTCAATTGATACTAATGATTGTCGTTCCTCTTTTCCATGTATTCACACCTGAATGTTTCGCTATGGCAACCGTAAAAATAACTGAAACTAGATACAAATCCGGGTCCAAATTTGACCGTGAATTTGTGCCTGGTAATGTGTGAATTTGCATTAAAAATTGTTCCTTGGGTAGGCTTTGAACATGAATAATCAAAGTATTTTTAGTGGCCATATTTATAGGATTTAATTTTATACCACTTCTAACTGCGGAGTATTTTGAAATTAACAAAAAAAAAACCATACTACATCAACACTGAATCCACTCATTTATTTATATGTGTATATAATTATGACAAAAATAACTTTTATATATACATATAATTTTCATTAATGGATACAGTGCAATTTATGCTTAAAAAAACCAACAATGAGTAATTTTTCGAAATCATTTTATGACATATTAATGGATTTATCATATCAAGATTTGCGTAAGTAAGCGGTTTCTTCTATTATTGTAAAAGTTTGAAAAAGAGATCGATGGTCTAATTTTTGTTCCGTTTTCAATAAAAATTAAATAACATTGGATTACAGAGGATTCAGAAAATAGAACAGAGGGTGTCCGGTTTGAATAATGTAAAGAGATAAAGTCACGTTGTCTTTTATTAGGTGACTCACGTATGCTTGTGGCTCCGGGACGGAAAAGTTTTTGAACGAAAGTGAAAAAGAAGAGCAGAAAGAAGTTAAGAAAAGCAAGAATAAAAGAGGGGCAACGTCGTAGTAGCGAATAAAAGAAACAAGCGACAGCCAGAAAAGCTTTCATCGTGAGAGATACATATTTCTAAAAATATACGTGTGCAATATATCGGATATTTCTTGAAAGGGAGAGGTGTTGCTCTTCTTTATGCATGATAAGCTGTAGCATCGCTTCGAGCAAAACTCAGGACAAGAAAAAATATTTCATGTGGTAAAATTTTGGAAACAAACTCACTCGAATTATAAAAATGTAACATGGGTGTTTGTTGCTTCCCAAAAATATTTAACAAAATTTGGACATAAAAAATAAATAAAGTAGCAAAATTCTTTATTGATAATATGCCTTTATTACATTGACGCTATTTGCTAAGTATGTCGGGTTTTTTCTGATCACAGACTGAATGTATCACAATTATTTTTAATCATTCCTTTGCATTTCATTGTTGTACTTGTTGAAAGTACTTTTATTGCACTTTATTATATTTATTATCTCGTGTTTGAAACGATATCGCGCGGCAAATGAATATCAATATAGTGAAGCGATTTTCTCCATGCAGAAGTATGACAAGTTTATTATTTTGCATAGACATTTTCAAATCTAGACCAGCCGACAAATTTCTGAAATTTATGTTAACTATAATCGGCTTGTATATTGTAAGAAATAATCAAAATATTCCAAAAGCATCAACGAAAACATTTCAGCTCAAACGTTGAGCTGTTTAGATAGCCAAACCACAAATGAAAAATGATGGATGGACATATGAGAATTGGTTTCAAGATTGAAGAAAATTGAAGATGTATTTTTAATATTTTATAAAATTGTAACGAAGGTAAGATAACAAACAATTTATTCAAGAATATATGATGGAAGTGATTTCTCCAGAGTGTAGCACTGCAATATAATACTCATCGATAATAAATGAATCGTTGCGGTGAAAATAACTCTTATTTTGTTGTATTATAACGTAAATAAAATATATATATAAAAAACCTCATGTTGCACTACTATTTGAAGCAAAATAAGAGCCATTTTATAAATTCTATTGAAAACAAAAACTTCACTATAGTTAAAAAACCTCTGTCAAGGTGAAGAACGAGTGACGAAACCAACATTTTGAAACAAAACATTTCTGATATCACTTTTGTGATGAAAATAGTTGGATAGATAATCTGTGTTGCTGTGAATACTAGTGGATCCCTCCACCATACCTCATTTTATTTTTTCGAAATTATTGAGCTAATGCATAAAGGAACATTTTCGGCATGTATTTAGGAAATCGGCAATAATCAAAGTTTCTTTGTAAAAGTTATTTTTTAAAAAAATGTCCTTGAAAATGGTATTGAAAACTTTTCAATATATTTTGGGCTGTAAATTGTTTCTTATTTTAGAAAAAACAAAACAGTCGCTACTGCTTAACAAATTCTCCTATTGGTTTAAAAAAAATATATATATTTTGTGTAAAATATAATGATTAAAGTGTCCTTGCTACTCAGTTGGAATCCTTCCATTCAAAAAAGTTCAATACTGTATGTAAACTTGAAAACCACTAAGTGGGACCGTCAAAAATACAAAAACAAATGTTTACAATAGTGTATATTAATATCAGCTACCATTTTATTATTCATGTGCATGTTATTGATGGTGCAATTTTACGGAGTGAAAAAAAGCGCTTGAGTAATAATGTGCAATCATTTCATGGAATTTGTCAAAAATTGTGGGACAATTTTGATAACAGATAATATTCAAGATTTCATTGAACTGGGGTTTGTGATATTAAAAAAAAAACGATCTATAAACAAGCTAAATTTATTTTTGACACTTGTTTAACTTGTTGTGGTACATTTATACAACTACATACCTGTCTAGCGTTGTAAGTGAAAATGTTGCGCGTTACGGTTTTTCGTTAAATCCCAATTTACTTTCATTTAATTTTCTTTTTTTTCTTTATTTATCAAGTCGTCAGTATTCATTTGTAAACGGAACACAAATATAAAATTTCTATCAAAAACTTGTTTTGTCGCAATTTTTCCTTCTCTCTTTCTCTCTGAATCTAACAAATGTTTTGTTATGAGATACGTTATTTTCTCAACTTAGTAACCTTGTGCGTAAAAGAGAATAGTAGTTCGACAATAGAACAGTTCATATGCCTATTCTGTGGTTCGTGCGATGAGTGTGATTGTTGTATGGATGATGTTTTTTTTTTTTGTTTTTCAAATATTATTATTATTTGAATTGCAATGTATGTTTCTAAGTCTGTTAATGAATAGTAAAAACTATATTTTGTGATGTTTCCTAAATGTAAGTTTGTTCACAGGAATTTTGTCGGACTTGTTGTAAACCGTGAAGCGAACACGTTGAATAACATCTTCTTGATGCAAATCTCTGTGAAATAATACGGAAATACGAAAAATTTGAAAATAAGACAGTTGAATTGGTCGTTTTGGGTGCGGTTTTCAAATGTTTGTGTGGACTGTTGCCGATTAAAAATCGACCAATAAAATTGTCTTCTGAAAAGAACCGTTTCTTTTAAATCCAATTTTAATGAGAGAGGAATGTTAAACGTAGATCCGTTCTTAAATGTTCATACTTGCTATAAGTTTTTCATTTACATTTTTCTTTAATTTGCATTTTAAATAGTCTGGTTATGACAATCAATTCAATCATTCATTATAGAAAAGGTGATGTTTTTCCATTTCTTACCTGTGATTTTGAACGCATCGTTGGTTGATATTTCCGTCGAATTTTCCGAGGACAACATACACAGAGAATTCTCACGAACGCTCTGTAAAAAAAAAATCACAATGTAAGGCTGACCAGTAAATCTTTCAATAAATCACACCCCGATTTTCGATTTTTTTTCTCCATCGAATCGGTAGAAGGGCCCAAAAAATACAATTTGAAATATTTTTGCCAAATTGATATTTGGGGTTTTCCGGCGTTTCCATGTATACCATGAACTGAACATTATGTCCTATGTCATAAACGAATGGAGATAATCGATTGCAAGTGTTTATATTCAAATAATTTAATGCATAAAAGTTGATATGTAACATTCGATTCGATTTGAAAGATGCTGATTTGACAAATAATCAAGCAAAAATATGATCAAAAATCAAGGGGGTAATTGGTAATATGGGCCCTATGGACCCACGACAGAATTTATGTTTAAATATATTTACCTTCGAAAGTCGCGACTCCAGCAAGCATAAATGACGGGATTCATACTAGAGTTGATCCAACCAAGCCACGTGACAACTGCCGATACGATCTCTTCATGTTCAATGCATTGTATACAAAATCCAGAAAGTAAATTGACGACGAAAAACGGAAGCCAACAAATGATGAAAACACCCATGACAATACCAAGAGTTTTTGCCGCTTTCTTTTCTTTCGCAAACTTCGCTAATTTTCGCGACAATGAAAAGTTTTTTCCCATATTTTGTCGATAACGTGCTCCTCCTGTTTTCACATAATTAAAAATATATCAAATTAACAGTCATGTCATGTAAAATATTGGTAAAGAAAAATCTTATAAATGTATCAAAGAAAATGTGGGTTGAAATTCAGACAGAAGCTGTCCAGCAGAGAGACAAAGGAAGTTAAAATTTATGTGTCCATAGAAAATATGGTCTTTACCGTGTAATCCGTTGTTCTGTAATGCTGAAAGCGGTTCTTCTTCAGGCTCTTCAGGTGTTGAGGTGGCTGTAGCTGAATGTGAATGATGGTGTTGGTGATGACCTTCGCGGGTTGTTCCACCGCGATGAATTCGTAATTGCAGTTCACCTGTCGCCATCAGCACCTGTTTTGTGCCCAGCTTTAACGATCTCGTTTGTACAACGGCAGCACGATAGATGCGACAATATGTAAAAACCATTACCAGTAAGGGAAGATAAAAAGAAATTGTGGACGAAAATACTAAGTATCCTAAGTGCTCGGTGAAGGTACATTTATACGGTGGCATTCCATTTTCTCTTGCTGCCCGCCACCACACAATCGCCGGAAAACTAATTGCTCCCGAGCATACCCAAACAGCTGCAATTAGAGCCGCGGCTCGTTTTCGGGTCATTCGCATTGGATACGAAAATGGATCAGTTATAGCCCAGTAGCGATCGAGCGAAATAACGCATAAATTTAAAATCGAAGCAGTACTAAATAATACATCGAGCGATCGCCAAATGTCACACCAATCAGTTCCAAAAAACCATGTGTTCTCTAGCACTTCGTATAATGCTGAAAATGGCATTACAACTAAGCCCACGAGACAATCAGCCACCGCCAGACTCGTCACAAATAAATTGGTTGAAGTATGTAAGTAACGTTCCCGAATAACCGCTAATATAACTAATGAATTGCCGAACACCGTTGCAAACGAAAATAAAAAAAGAAATGCTAATAAACCCAAACGATCTCTTTCCAAACGCTCTAAATACACGGAGAAATCCGGTTCGATTGTACAACAGGTTGTCTCGACTAAATAAATATTTTCCGTTGTGTTGATTGTTGATCTGTTATCCAATGTAAATAATTGCGAGATGTTCCAATAATAGTTATCAGTGGCATTATTCATTATTATTGCTTTATATGATGAATATGAGAGATATGTGATGATTTAAATAGAGCATTGAATCATTTTCACTCCTTGTTATCAATTGATGAGAACTACTTTGTATAATCAATTGCTGGTCGCGTTTGTTTTCAATTGATTTTCAGATGAACTTTTGTTGTATTTTTGCGGTATTTCAAGTTACATTCATGAGTTGTTCGTATGAAGCCGTTTTCGTAGTTTGTTTATCAACTAAATCATTTTCACTGCTTGACAATGTTTTCGATTTTCTACTTTCAATTTGTTGTTTTGTATGACAAACCCATTTAAGTTGTTTTCACGACACACTGCATTTCTTTTTCTTCTCTCAATTGAATCACTTCTGTTCGTATAGATTTTAAACTACTCGGTGATTCGGGATGTGTTATACATTTGTAAAGGCTTAACCGCCAAATGACACGATGAATTTTATTTTATGAATATGAAGCAAAAAATAAGCTGCAATATTGATTCTATTGACACATTTTGTACTTGGTTTCATGTAATTCATTCAAATTTATTTGAATTATAGTTATAACTTGAAAAAAAAGTTTGCACTTTGGATGAATGTTGGCACATGTCGAGACCAGTTTTTTCTGTCACATGAAAAACAAAAAAAGAGAAAAATCATTAATTTCAAAATACGACAACAATAACAACACGCATTTTGACTGTCAAAATTTTAATGTTAGATTGCCGCGACATTGGCAATAGTAATTTGAAACACACTTTGAACACCACTTTCATCCTATATGTTAGCTTCAGAATACTCGATCTAGTTCACACTGATGGTTGCAAATATTTTTCAAAGTGTTTACAAGTACATCCATGATGCTTCGTTCAAATGAATTTAAAAACACTTCCACTAATGTTGTGGCCATCTAACGCTTTAGCAAGGATTCTATAGCTGATTGTTGAAGTTTCAGTTCAACTTGAGAGTGCATGGGGAACGGAAGAGAATTGAAATAAATAACAAAGAAAAACTACAAGTAGTTGATAAATTACCAACGGATTTTAACTGTTTATATTATAAACGAAACTTAGTTTTAAAAATGTCTGTATTCATAATTTCTCAAAGTGAATTGTGTGTACTAAGAAATTTTTTTCACAAAATGAAATTCTTCTTATTGAAGGTAATCTTCATTGAGATAAAAAACACTTATTTTAGTCATTATTTTGTAGTACAATTTGTCACTCGCGTGCGCTTGTTTGGTTTTTGTAATCCCTTTTAACCCACTCTCACATTTTGATGTGTGCCCGCATACTTTTTAAATGGCTTTGACTGAGATATGTGAAAACCCCATTTCCTATGCGTACTCAAAAAGGCGCGCACAATCTAGGAGCACAAACCTACTGTGTATAATATTTTTTGGTAGACAAAGAGTTTCTGCATTGACGTAAGCAGACATAAGATTTTCATTCGAGTGGAGTGTGCCATGCAAAATTTTGTGTACCAATATTATTTGACTCACTATATTTTGGATGTAAAAACTATAATTTTCTTATATCTTGGCCGCAGCGAATATAAGGAACTTTTAAAAAAATGCAATACAATCGCCTAAAAATTGTCTTGCCGTGCATTTTGTTCTGGCGGCCGTAAGAAAAGAAGCTTAAATACAGAAAGCCAGTGGAAATATGTATGCAATATAATGTGATAATTCTGGCGTCATTCGGTGGCTGTTACTTCTTAGTCGGTTAATTGAAGATAGCGAATTATTCGACATTTTGAGAATTTTATGTGAAATGATTTGTATGCGATGGACAATTCACTATGAACGTGAGACAATGCATGTATGTTTTTTATGTATAAAATTGTGATAACTTGTGTGCGAAAAGCTTGCGAATTGTTTGAATTATTTTACTAAAATGACGACTTTATCCTACAACTAATAAATTTTGTCCATTCGTGAATGGATAATTTGCCCTGGGATTCCGACAAATGAAAAACGAGGAGTCCTTGTCGAGGACTATTTTCAAGAAATCGAGGACATCAAAAATATAGTGTCTCTCAGAATTATCCGTACTCTTCTCAAATATAAAAGTTTATGAAAAATTTGGAGTTTCCCGATAAACTGTACGAATCAAAAATCTCTACATTTGGAGTAATTTTATGAAGTTTTAAATCGCAGACAACGGGAGCTTTTGGGTTGTCTTGATCTGATTCAAAAAAAATCAGATCAGAAATCAGAGAAATTCTGAAAACTGTGAAATAATTGCTATTCGAGTTTTTGTTCATGTTTACAATTTTTCAAAAAGGTGTCTCTAAAAACGACACGAAAAAAGGGAGCAAGCTGAAATTTTCCTAGAAAAAATCCCATAAAAAGCTTTTCATTTCTCTCCCCTTGTAAAAAAAATGACTGACTGACTATAAATTAAGTCAATTTTAATCACTTTTATTCGGTTAAAATTACCAATAGATGATTGAAATCGAATAAAGTCGGTTATGTTTCAGAGTTAACTAAAAGTGATTATAGTCAACATAGTTGACAAAGGTCAATTCCATGTACTTATGGTTAACCGTAGTTAACTATGATCACAATCGGCATTTCTCAACTCAAGTTACATGAAGACGCATATAGTCACTTATAGTTAAATATCAGCCATTTTTGTCCCAAATTAGTCAATTTATAGTCGGCTATGAAGTCGAAATATTTCCATAAAGGTCTGTTTTGAAGGAGAAGCAAACTTCATGTAAAAACATTAAGTCGAAAAACAAACAATGTGTATACCAGTTTTCGAGCTCCAAAGAACGTTAAATGAAAAGCGGTTCTTATTCAATGTGACGTAACGCGAAAATATGATGTAAATATGTGATCTTTGTCGTGATAGCAAATAATTCTTTAATACTGGTATACCTCGTCGCGTATTAGATCTCTGTATTTCCAAACGCTCCCGTTTTCTATGCAAGTGATAACAATAAAGCTGTAATTAACTTGAACAAGTTCAAAACAATAAAATTCGATTAAATTGCGAATTCATGTGCTAAAATAAGCATATCAACAATAATTACGGTTAGATTTTTCGGTTGAATGCATTGGTTCCAATCTAATTTCATGGCGTTGTGTTGTTTCCCACCACAAAATTAAGCATCATCAAATACAAAATGAGTTTTAAGCATTACAAATGTATTCCGATTAACACGAAGTATAATGAAATCATTAATTTGACGACACTAAAAGTTCGTACTTGGTAGAAGATGCTTTGAGAGATATTTGAAGCTTAGTCTTTAACTTTGGGATTTTGACATAAATAATCAAATAGACTGGATAAGCGAATTCTCGCAGTTGGAAAAAATGTTTTGATATACGACTTTCATTTAAATTATAGCCTGTAGATATGAAATAAAGAAAAAACATGACGTTAAGCTCAATGCTTACGGTTGTAACATAGTCGATGACCTCCGTTATACTATATTACTATAAAGAACCATAGCAAAATAACAATAACAGTGATAACGATGACGATGACTAGGAGAGAATAAATTACGAATATGATATAGATATAGCTATGTGATTTTTTTTTAGTAAATTTTTATATATAACCATTCAATAATCAATGTTGTATATAGTGAAAAGCCCACAAGGTTTAACCTGATTTATTTACGACCCAACCGAAACAGGTTTGGGGAAGGGCGGCGACACATATACAGTAAAGGTAGCTCATCCGTTTCGTTGTTATTGCAAACGATTTCAATACTGAACACAAAACACAATGTTATATTTTTAGACGCCATGTATCCACAGTTGTATTGTATCTTGCATACGGAAATTATTTAGAGGTGAGTGAATTTTAATGTGACTAAAAATGACACAGAATACAAAAATCTTCTCTTTAATCTCGAATACCTTATGTGTGTCTTCGTGTGTGAAAAATGTATCTACGAACTTAAGCATTCGATTTGTGTGCATATGTGTTTCACTTGAATCGATAAATAGATACAATGTAATAACAATTTAAACGCTAATTTTCCAAATAATTTCTCAATTTGATTTTTAATTTCGTTTGATGAATTTCTATTCATATTGTAACCAACATTTTAGTCCACACTTTCTATGGTTACACACAAAAAAAATGTTGGTGGTAGCAACGTTTACCAAAGATTTTAAGTAATATCTCTTAACATCTCTATAAAATACAAGAAAAAACCTCGAGAAAGATTTCCGAGTTTTATGTGCGACGATGGTGACACCCTATGGAAAAAATATACATTTTTTAGGTATGAAGGTGCACCAAATCGTTCTCAGGATAAGAACTTTCGAACGGTCCAGAAATAAAATCTTTCGGTTTTGTATGCAGTGTAAAATCCTAGATAAAACCTCGCAATAAGAGACCATAATATGCTTTTGGTCAAAATCGACGTCCAAAATAAAATCCTAGCAAATCGAAAGAATTTTCCGAACCTTAGATGTCTGTAATCTGACCTCTCACTACCCTATACGATAAGTAGAGATATCGAACTGTTACAATTTTTTTTACAATTTTATCTCTGCGGATCGATATGAAGAGAAGAAAAAACAGTGGGGTATTGAGGGCTGGCTCGACATTTTCTGATCCAACGAAGTTTTGCAATGTGGATTGCGTGTGTATTAAACCATCATGTATTCATGGAAAGCGTGATTTTAGTATTTATTGCTGAGGATTTAACGATTCAAAGTGTATTTAAGAAATAAAGCTAGGCTTTACGACAGGGTATACGCAGATATAGGATAACCCATCGGTGACCCTGACAATGAAGTTTGAATTCGAAATTATTTAATTTGAATACGACTTTTATAGAAGTTGCCAATTTTACATTGTGCATTAAAATTTCCAAACATGATGTCCCATTTTGCACGAAACCTATTTCGTACACATGTTTGATGTAGTGAATATTTCGATTATTTTTTATTTTGTTAGACTTAAAATTTGAAAGTGCGATACTTTAAAAAAAAACGTTGCTCATTATATCGTTGACAATATGAACTCGTGTATCAATAGCGCAATAGTACAATTAATAGCGAACAAATTACGGGTATATACGGTAATACTGAGCTTTAAGTCCATTAACATATTAATAGCATATTTATGCTACCATATCGTCTCAGTCAACATTGTTGTGAATTGTTATATAATGACAATGATGTTTTTATTCAAAGTATGGTGGCGAAATAATATGTTAATATTAATAAAATATTGTCAATAATAAAGTAATGGGATTCATCTAGTAACAGCCCCGAAGCGTGACCAAAGGGAAAGGCGTAATAATATAAACACGTTTTAATAGATGAATCCTAATCACGTTAGAGTTCAGTTCAGCAAGATAAGAATGCAGATGATTTAATTTACTTGACATCGGATATATAAAACGGACCACAAACTGGGTTCGGGAAATTTAAGTGAAATGAAACGACAACAACAATAATACGTATTTTCAATATCAAAATTTTGATTTAAGATAGCCACAACATTGTAATTTGGTACACACATTTTCATCGTATATGCACACTCCATCTATTTC